AAGATAAGGATCTTTTAGGTAAACTTTCGAGAACACTTTAGAACCATGAAGTCAATTTAGAATATCTTCAGCTTCTACCGTCGTGCACGTTTGCTTCAACAAACGGGAATTCAGAGTTAATCTATAGTCACCACAAATTCTAGGGGTCTTGCCGTCTGACTTCAGTGGTGTAACGATAGGAGTACCCCATGCTGAAGACTGAATTGCTTCAATTATGACTTTCACACACAAATCGTTTAATGTCTTATGTACTGCTTCTCGAAGACCATAAGGAATTATTCGTCTTTTAGGAAGACGGGATCACCCTGTACTTGAAGTTTTATAGGCTTAATTTTCATACCTCCACTGCACTTAGCACACATAGCTATCAAATCTTTAAGTAAGGTATCAGAATCTTCTTTAGAAACGATGAAGGACAACTCCACCTTAAGCCTTTTTAAATTCTTTAAACCCAAAATTGACAGTCCTGTTTCGCTAACTAAAAATTCACAAGGTATGTATGAAGAATTATCATCTCTGATTAGCAATTCACAACATCCTCGTATGGGCAGTCTGTGTCCAGTAATCCCCAGTATTGATACTTCAGTGGGTCGTTCAACAACGTTAAGATCTAAAGCTTTCATGTTCTTGAATGAAATAATGGACTCTATACTGCCTGTGTCCAGAATAAAGTCATGAAATGAACCAGGCGATGTATATAGTCGCTTCTGAATATGAGCATTACCTTTCGAAATAATAGACAAAGGCAAATGATCACTAGAAACATCCGAATTATTGAAATTTAAATTAAAAGATTTAGTACAGCTTGAAGCAAAATGGACAGTAGCTTTGCATACTGACTGAAAGTGTCCTACCTTACCACATTTAAAACATTTAGCATTACAAATACACATGAATTGCGAGCAAGAAACTTTCCACATGATAAACATTTACCAAACTTCATCTCACCTTTGTGATTTGCTTTGTAATTCCTCGTTGAAACACCTTTCATATTTACACGAGAATAGGAATCACTGTTTAATGAACGCAAGTTTGATTGACCCTGAGATTGTAGTTCATCACGACGACTAAGCAAAGTATTAGAAATCTTCATCGACTGGAAATCAAGTTCATTGGCTGCTTCGTAGTTAATACATGCAGTTCTAGCATCTTGAAAGGAACAGCTTGGCATTCTTAACAGCTCTCTTTCCGAATTCGGTATGTTAATTCCTGCAATTAATCGATCTCTCAGTTGCACATGAAGTTGATCACCGAAATTACACTTGGCAGCTTGTTTCTGTAATTCAAGGATGAATTCCCGAGCCTTTTGGTCATTTTGACGAACCATCATATGAAACTTCGCCCTTTCACGGCATTCAAAACTGGTTCATTTTACATGACTTAATAATAGCTCTTTAAGAGTTGCATAAGGGAGTGAGATAGGTTTTTCTGGATATGACAAAGATTTTAATAAGCTGTACGCTTTTCTCCCAATGAATGTCAGAAAATGCGCCACAATTTTATCACCTTTAACACCTTTCTTGGTCATGCTAAAAATTTCGAACCTTTCCAAGTATTCCTCAAAAGCTTCAGGAGTTAAATGAATATCTAACTTTTCCATTGCAGGCTCAATCACGACGCCAATATGGTATTCTAATTGTCGTATGAACTAGGAATTCCAGGATTAACGCAATTCAATTAACAAGACACAGGCAAAAACGAATGTATTGCATTTAGACATCGAAATCAAGCATTCAACCAGTACAAAGTTATCATTACATAATTTAAACACCACATGAACCATCAAGCAAGATCGTATGTACATGGCTACTCCACCCCCAATTCCCGATTTTCTGTAGTTGCGAAAAAAAGACATCCCAGGTACTGCTAACTCTTGGTCCGAGAACTGAGATGTCCAAGTTTCAGTTATTTCTATCAGATGAGCCTTATCAGTATTGCTAAGTTTACGTAGCTCATCCATTTTATTCGGTAGACTCGCGGCGTTCATGTATAAGCAGTTTATGCTTTCAATTTGAAACGTGTGAGCTTCTTCCTGTTTGTCTGTATGAGCCTTACGTGAACGGACAGGTAACCTACCTATATAATGTTTGCCGAGTTGGTAGGCCCTGTCCTTTACACGTTTTTTTATCATCGAGACAGTCCACAAGTGGAATGGTCAGCTCCAACTTGCTTTTGTGCTTTTAGTTCAGTAAGTGGACTAGATCCAGTCCTTCTTCGAAAATGCTATGGTATGTAATGCTTTTACTGATAGTCAGTCAATCAGCTGAAACGTAGGACCAGGCACATATCTGCATCGGTCCAAGTTGCCATACCTCATTAGCACAGGAAGATGAACAGCGAATTCATAGAAGTAGTTAATTCAGTGGTGGTAATATATAAAAGAAAGATTGCATGTAAGGACATAGTACAGGAAGAAGGAATTAGTTCGTAGATAGAAAGATATGAAGTGATTTTAATCTCTTAGTTTAAGGGAAGACAGAGAGTGTATACACCTGCGTTATTGTGATCGATTCCAAGCCGCCCCTACCTTTCTCCCCAACACTAGTCACCATTGTGTGTCGTGGTAATCGGTGTTCAGGCATACGTAACACGTGACCCGACCACCTCAGTCGATGAAGATTCGCAACCTCATCAACTGATTTACCGTCATTCCCTATTACCCTGCGTCTAACCTCACTATTACTTACCCGATGATCCCAACAGGTGTGAGCAGTATTTCTAAGACATCTATGATCAAATACTAGCAACTTACGAGTATCTTCTACTCTTAATGGTAACGTTTCGCAGCCGTCAATTAGAACAGAACGAACTGCCGGATAGTATACTCGTCCCTTAATTGATAGACGGATATCTCGCCTTTGCTATAGGTCACGTAAGTTGGCAAAGACCAAACGAGCTTTTCGAATCCGTACAGAGATTTCATCAGACACCAACCCATTAGGACTGATCACACTTCCAAGATACGTGAAGTTCTCGGTGTGTTCGACTACTTCACTCCCTACCCTTAGTTCAGGTGTTGACGCAGACCAGTCCTGAAGCAACGACTTGCATTTAGAGGGGGAGAAACGCATCCTAAACATTCTGGCATATTCAGTCGACGAGAGCGTTATTTCCATCAGTGGGTCTGTGATGAAGTTAAACAAAAATGGAGAGAGTGGACAGCCTTGCCGGACAGTAATTGATGCAGCCACGACCAAGTTTGAAGCCAGCCTGATTTCGTCGTGTTTGCAGTTCACGAGTCTTAGTTAGGCGACCGGTAATTATTGACGCTAGTATTTTAGATGCTATATTAATCAACTCAGTCCCTCTATGGTTATCACAGGATGATTTTGACCCCTTCTTATGTATTAGGACAATCAGTGATTGCGATCAGTCAGGTGGGATTACGTCCAACTCCAAGATTTTAGCTAAAATGTTAGTCAACCTAATCGCTAAAACTGGACCACCACCCTTAAAGACCTCTGGAACCAATCCATCTGAACCAGCTGCTCTTCCTTGTTTGAGATTAACTATAGCCTATTGAACTTCAGCTGGCGTCGGGGACCTACTTAAATGTTTCATTCACGCTGTCTGGGAATGGTGGGTAGTTGCAGAGTAACTGAAGTTCGGCTGAACTGCTCCTTAAAGTGTTTCACCCATCGTTCAAAATGTCTGGACTGTGAGAAGATAAGAGTGTCCTCTTCTTCCGAGATAGTCTCATATTTGACTTATTAATTCCAGTTTCTTTTATTAGTCTGAAAAGTTATCTTGTTCTACCTACAACCGCTGCCTTTTTCATATCTTTTGCTTTCGTCGCCCACCACTGCTCACTTTTGCTCTTTATCGTGCTGAAAGACTGATGGAATGAGCTTACGAGACTTCATGCGTAATACAGATGTTTCAGAATTCCTCTGGCTTTCGTAACTCTGTTTCAACTTACTAATAAATGTCGGTGCCATATACACATCTGTTCGTATAACTTTCCGAGCAACATCGGGGTCATCCTGGTCACTGAGTTCAATTCTAATAGGTTTCCTTGATATAGCTTTTGTGCTTAAAATTTGTGTTTGCTAAAAATAAACGATTGTCTGGGCGCAGTTGCAGCAGACCATCACCATTATCTGTTCGCTGTGCCGAAATACTAAAATACCCATCTAAATACCTTTCTGTTTGGTTTAGGCTACCTACTTGAGCATTAAAGTCACCTGCTACGAGTACTATGTCTGAACGCTTAACTTACTGAAGAAGTTCAGAGAGCTTTCTGTAAAATTCATCTTTCACTTCATCCGATCTGCAGTCAGTTGGGGCGTAGGCAGAAATGACGAAAAGGCAACGAGGTGTGTCTCTATCCTTCCGAATTCTTACAGAGCCGTTCAACCGAACAACATATAGACAACTGTCAACGGGAACCCATCCTAATAGTGTTTGTCCCGCCCTCATGCTTAGTGCTATGCCTACACCTCCCAGTCCACGAGAACTGGTTATCGGGTCACCAGATACACGGGGGGTGTATCTCGTCGGCTCTCCGTTTTGGCAAGGTGAGGTAAAGTGAATGACCACACTAGGATCTTGTATGCGTGTTTTGAAGACGCAGCATACATCAATGGTACGAGATTCTAGGGTTTTAGTCAAGGAAGCCTGTTGACCGATTTGACATAATGTGCGTACGTTGAAGGCTCCAATGGGTAGTTTGGAGCGAGGTTTCAGTAGACCTGGGACAGTGTTTTGCGCACTAGAATCGTTGACTATGGTGACACTTGAGAAGGAAGTCAAGTGCGGAAGTTTGTAGTTGAAAGTCGATGTAGGAGGAATAATAGGAATAGAAGAGGGAGGTTGATTATGAATACAGTGGTCTTGAGTGCTGTTTGAAGTATGAGGGTGGTTATCACTTCCCGGTTGCCCACACCGTGGAAGGGTTCTTCTGCAGGTACCTGAGAAGGAAATAGGGTTACATGTTATCTTAGTGACCTGAGAGCGTGGCCGCAGTACCCAAGGGACAACTGCTTGAGGTCGGTCACACACGACCTCTGTGAGTAATTTCCGTGTTAGCTCCGTAATTGTTGAGACCTTACCGTCGGAGACGGATATCCGTGTGATAAAGCGATGTGTGCATTTCTAGGGTCAACCTTTTCTAACCCCACCCCTCCTTGTGGGAAGGCAGCATCGCTGTCATGCTGGTTGTCTGAAGGAAACACCTTACTGCTGTCACACCTTTGTGCAGTCATCCGTGCGACTCCCCCCCCGACCATTCGGTTTGATGTTTTTAGTCTTTAACCGACCTGCCTGACGTGACGGGGCCTTGAGGGACGACTTTCCCAGCCATTATAGTTCGATTGGTTCATCACGGTAGGCAAGCCCGACCACCATGTCAAGGTAGTAGCAACGACCGGGTGGCACGAACCGTCGGCAACAGCCCATTCTGGTAAAGATTCAACTCAAAACTTCTAGGTCTCGATGCGAGTGCACTACACTTGGACCACAATTAGGATCTACTAACATACACTTTCAACCTTGGTCAGAGATGAATAGCATAACACGAAACACTACAATGACTATTTATGAGGCCAAAATGTTCATCTAGTTTATAAAGCGACATAAGAGCTTAAAGTCCCATGGTAAATTTAGGAAAAAAACCTCCGTTCAACAAATCCTCACTGTTTAGCTGAAAAGTATGCACTTTAAAATCCCTTATGGGTCACTCAAATACAGGTTCATATTTTTGGAAGTACACTCATCCGCGCAATATATATATATATATAGACAAAAATCGTAGGATTATAAGTTTTCTGCACTTTGTGAAGAAAGTATTAGAGGAATAAAAGTTTACAAATTACTTTTGAGAAGTATTTATATAAATTTACTGATTAGTTACAAGATGAATCGATCTACAGATAGTTACACTTTTAAAAATTTAAAGGATGAAAATATATATGATGTATCTATGACAGTGATTTTATGAGTAATACAGCACCAGCTAAAAATGTAGAAATGAAAAGAAGACCATTAATATGAGTATATCCGGTTATTGGAGGGACAAATTGATAAACACCCGTGCTAGGTTTCATTGCTCTGCCTCTTTCGAGTTCATACTGACCTTGTGCTTTTGCCCACTGTGTCATTTTTTCCACCCATCTTCTAATACGAATGGAAAGAGAGCAAGAAAAATAAAATAAAATTGTGTGAATTGTAAGAACAAATAACACAAAAAAAGAAAAAAACTAATTCATATACCATAAGATTAGAGTGAAAACACAACCAGAAAGACAGGGAAAAAATGTGAAGATTATATTTCGACAGACAAAACTGTTGATAGTACAGAAGATTGAACAGTTATTGGGTTATCAAAACTCTAATAGTAAATGTGTTAATTCATTGAATGTAACTAGACAGATAGTTCAGTTTTACAAAAAGATGGCATTTGGCTAGCAGTGGAATCCAAGACGCGCGTTTCGCTCTATCTGGAACCTGTCCATCTATTTCATATAAACTTGTGTCAATGGCTAATATCAAGGCTATCTGCACAGAATATACATATGTCAACTAAGACTAGTTTTAATTCAGTCAAAATATCAACAACGGCATAACCGAAACCGATACAAATTCGATTAGAAAGATGGCGACTAGAAGTATTATCTTAATCATTAATTCCTTTGATATCAACAATTTGGATTTTAAGATTTACATTGGCGACCTTCACACTCCTAAAGTATACATGAAAGAAAACAAGAGTTTGGGTACTTAAACTTTTAAAGACAAGCACGGTTATCGACGTTTCATTTATATGTATGATGAAAAACGGTTTGTATGATTATCACAGAAACTTAATATAACCTAATGAGTTTTAGTCTCATTTACATAACCGGATATTGGAGCATCACAATAAAACTGCCAATCAATTGAGTAGGTTAAAGAGTCAAACACATAATTTCAAATCAAAATCAGTTATTTTTGTTATCGGTAATACATGGATGAAAGCACTTAAAAATATCAATTACGGTCATTCAAAAGTCAGTGGAAATCAACTACAGAACATTTTGAATGGTTATATTTTATTTTCGTTTACTAGGATGAATCGCCGGAGATAGCTAACAGGTATTACATCTTAAAACCTGTTAGTTAGTCGTAGAAAAACAAAAAGACAATAACTTTTCTAGTTTTGAACGTATAAATTGACAAAATAAGGATAGTCAATCGAGCATAACAAGAACCAAGTAGTGTCTTTAAAACCTCAGCCAGATAACGAGATAGCGGCGATAGATTACTGTAACCACACCAACTAATCCCAATTTATTATACAATTTTAAAATGGGAACCAGTATTGTCTAACCACGTAGGCCAATTAGTATAAAAATATACAGTTACTAAGCTACATTAATTAATAGTTATTGTGTAACACCAAATGAAGCTATGGTATTGTGTAGTAGATCTAATCTTTACGGAACAACTATAATTTAAGGTTTACTACCTACAGTTAGATACTGGTGAGCATATAATTAAATTATCACATTCTTTCTCTATTTAACTGTTAGGATATATATATTTTAAACGAAATCATACTGATCAATAGCAATGTATATATTTCACAGAAATGGTCCAGCACAATGTCGATTGCCTGATAAAAGTTACGGAAGGACTTGACTTAACTCCCGAAGCACACTCATGTGTGAAATACTCCGTCAGTTTTAATCAAAACAGTCAGTAAATACAGATATTCTTGGTCAATCAGTCTTAATCAATATAAAAGAAGTGTCTTGCATTGCTCTAATAACTAATATAATTAAAACTTATTACCACAGAAAAGCGTGATCCATTGGTTGCTATTGTATTCGCTATGAAGAACTCGTGAGAGTTAAGTTTTCAAAGGTTAATTAAACTTATGCTAAGTATATTTTACTAAAACACGAGCTAAACTTATTCATTAATGTACATGCACTTGATTACGAACCCATCTAACTAATTAATGGCATGATCACGTAATCTTTGATAGAAAAAAATATTTGTTTTAGATACTAGTAACTATTACTTAATGATGAATTGAAAATAGGAACTTCAGTTGCAACACACAACGTATACACAGTGAGTTTTCCCTGGTTAGTTGGAACGTAATTTATCATTAACAATCGTACATGGTTATCTGTAATTTTACGAATGTGAGGAGGAAAGTGAGCAGATACATATATGATACGAAAGGTAAGTAAGATATATGCTTTCAGTACACCAGCTTTTAAAAATGGTTAAATCAAGTGGTGTAAACCTGACCTAATTGCTCAAAATTCAGTGCTTTTACCACTCTTAATTTTTAATAGGCTAAATGCTTAACCCTGTTGAAGGATAAGTAAATCTAATCTGAAAACAATAAAGAAAGTGAGGGGCCAATATTACAAATCCACACAACAACCTATTAAGGTCTTATCCATTGAAACATAAACTTATACACCAAGCAAAGAGTTCTTATACATTTTTGTACCTAGTAAAGCTTATAAAAATAGTATGAATACCTGTGGACACAATAATCTATTGGACAGTCAAACAGCAAACAGAACTAACCTTCGCATTTCGTCCCCATAAGCTTCAAAACCAACCTTGTCAAGATCAGGTGGTGGATGAGGATAATGCATTCGAAAAGCATCAGCACTAATTCCAAAAGCATTGACTTTTCTATTTAAGTCATATTCTTGACGAGATTCCGACCTCCCAAGGACCGAATACGCCTCGCTTACTTCGGCAAAATGTATCTTTGCTTTATCATCTAAACACTTGTCAGGATGGTACTAATAAAGGTATCATTAATTAGACGTAAATAGAACCTTTTTAGATAGATCTAAGTAGGCAGCTTTAATTTCTTCTGGGGATGCTGTACTTTTGACATTTAAGATATTATAGTAATCTCTAACTCCTGTCAATGTGCTGAAATACTTGTATACCCAACGAAAAGTATGAGTTAATCTTCTAGTTTTATCAGAAGTGGCTAGGAACATATGATCGATTACAATTCCCTAATAAGAAAAAAAAAGCTCAGTTACTTAAAATACACAGTTTTATGATATTTCGTTAATAACTGTATAAAACCAGGGGAGAAACAGCGTAATAGTTCTAATTTTCATTGCTAAAGTTCCCGTACAATTTTAGTGGGGTTGAGTTCTCTGAGCTAGTATTGTCTTTTTAGACAATATCAGCACGTAACCACATAATCCCATCAATAACAAATCTCAATTGAAGCACACAACCGCTGACCAATTTTAAGTTTAGGATAATAGGTGGCTACTGAATTTCAGGGATAAAATAATAAGTTAAGCCATACACACAGAAATGTGAAATAAAAAGTCAGTAGTAAAAGCATTTGTATAATACGCAGATGCGCATCTGGTGCTAACAATACATCGTTCTTAACTAAGCTGAAACTGACTATCATGGAAAGTTATTATTTATCATCAAGAAACAGTATAAATACCATAAAAACGAATACCTTCCACAAATCGTTCAGTATATGCATTTATGCAAATGCAGAAAATATAACTACCTTGTATATCACAACCGGAAAGTATACGACTTCAAGCAGATCCAATAAATAAAAAAAACCTCACGAAAATGCAGTGATTAAATATAATCCCCATCAACACCAACTCTGGTCAGTCGAGTAAGTCAAGGTAGACGACAGTGGTAAATGTCTAAATCATGCCTAGAGGTCAAAGAAACTAGCCACATTAAAAGGCTTACGGTAAGAAGCAGAGGTTATCAAAATTTATAAGGACAGTGCATTTGATTACTAGCTTATGATTAATGCATGGAAACATGAAGAAACTATAGGGGAAGAAATATTAAGTCATTTAAGTTGTTCCTTAACGTTCTGTTATTAGTTAGTGATCTGATAGTGGATTAACAATGCACTGATAGATTCTCGTAAACTCATCCCATCATGCTCTGAACACGAACAACAGCAAACACAAATCAGGTCTAGGTTAACCAAAAGTCTAAGGAACGACCGTCAGCAGTGGTGGGCAACGAAAGCAAAAGAAATGAAAAAGGCAGCGGTTGTAGGTAGAACAAGATAACTTTTCAGACTAATAAAAGAAACTGGAATTAATAAGTCAAATATGAGACTATCTCGGAAGAAGAGGACACTCTTATCTTCTCACAGTCCAGACATTTTGAACGATGGGTGAAACACTTTAAGGAGCAGTTCAGCCGAACTTCAGTTACTCTGCAACTACCCACCATTCCCAGACAGCGTGAATGAAACATTTAAGTAGGTCCCCGACGCCAGCTGAAGTTCAATAGGCTATAGTTAATCTCAAACAAGGAAGAGCAGCTGGTTCAGATGGATTGGTTCCAGAGGTCTTTAAGGGTGGTGGTCCAGTTTTAGCGATTAGGTTGACTAACATTTTGGCTAAAATCTTGGAGTTGGACGTAATCCCAACTGACTGATCGCAATCACTGATTGTCCTAATACATAAGAAGGGGTCAAAATCATCCTGTGATAACCATAGAGGGACTGAGTTGATTAATATAGCATCTAAAATACTAGCGTCAATAATTACCGGTCGCCTAACTAAGACTCGTGAACTGCAAACACGACGAAATCAGGCTGGCTTCAAACTTGGTCGTGGCTGCATCAATTACTGTCCGGCAAGGCTGTCCACTCTCTCCATTTTTGTTTAACTTCATCACAGACCCACTGATGGAAATAACGCTCTCGTCGACTGAATATGCCAGAATGTTTAGGATGCGTTTCTCCCCCTCTAAATGCAAGTCGTTGCTTCAGGACTGGTCTGCGTCAACACCTGAACTAAGGGTAGGGAGTGAAGTAGTCGAACACACCGAGAACTTCACTTATCTTGGAAGTGTGATCAGTCCTAATGGGTTGGTGTCTGATGAAATCTCTGTACGGATTCGAAAAGCTCGTTTGGTCTTTGCCAACTTACGTGACCTATAGCAAAGGCGAGATATCCGTCTATCAATTAAGGGACGAGTATACTATCCGGCAGTTCGTTCTGTTCTAATTGACGGCTGCGAAACGTTACCATTAAGAGTAGAAGATACTCGTAAGTTGCTAGTATTTGATCATAGATGTCTTAGAAATACTGCTCACACCTGTTGGGATCATCGGGTAAGTAATAGTGAGGTTAGACGCAGGGTAATAGGGAATGACGGTAAATCAGTTGATGAGGTTGCGAATCTTCATCGACTGAGGTGGTCGGGTCACGTGTTACGTATGCCTGAACACCGATTACCACGACACACAATGGTGACTAGTGTTGGGGAGAAAGGTAGGGGCGGCTTGGAATCGATCACAATAACGCAGATGTATACACTCTCTGTCTTCCCTTAAACTAAGAGATTAAAATCACTTCATATCTTTCTATCTACGAACTAATTCCTTCTTCCTGTACTATGTCCTTACATGCAATCTTTCTTTTATATATTACCACCACTGAATTAACTACTTCTATGAATTCGCTGTTCATCTTCCTGTGCTAATGAGGTATGGCAACTTGGACCGATGCAGATATGTGCCTGGTCCTACGTTTCAGCTGATTGACTGACTATCAGTAAAAGCATTACATACCATAGCATTTTCGAAGAAGGACTGGATCTAGTCCACTTACTGAACTAAAAGCACAAAAGCAAGTTGGAGCTGACCATTCCACTTGTGGACTGTCTCGATGATAAAAAAACGTGTAAAGGACAGGGCCTACCAACTCGGCAAACATTATATAGGTAGGTTACCTGTCCGTTCACGTAAGGCTCATACAGACAAACAGGAAGAAGCTCACACGTTTCAAATTGAAAGCATAAACTGCTTATACATGAACGCCGCGAGTCTACCGAATAAAATGGATGAGCTACGTAAACTTAGCAATACTGATAAGGCTCATCTGATAGAAATAACTGAAACTTGGACATCTCAGTTCTCGGACCAAGAGTTAGCAGTACCTGGGATGTCTTTTTTTCGCAACTACAGAAAATCGGGAATTGGGGGTGGAGTAGCCATGTACATACGATCTTGCTTGGAGGTACACCAAGCTCAGAATCTCGAGTTTAACAATCTTGAGGAATCCATATAGTACTCTGTAAGATTGTCTGCTACTTCGAGGTGTCTAGTCGGAGTCATATACAGAAAGCCTATCGCCGACATCGAGTACGACAGTTATATGCTGGAAGGAGTCAGTTTTGCGGAACATACGTATATTGGAGGTGAAAACTCAACTGAAGCTTGGTTCTTCAACCTCATTAGGGATCTGGGATTACACGGAAATGTGAAGTCGGCAACTCGTCGGAAAAACAGTCAGACACCATCGCGTTTAGACTGGGTATTTACAAGTGAAGAATTTCTAGTTGACAACCTTTCAATCCTGACTTTCCCTGGGCAAAAGCGATCACGCCGTTATAGCTTTCAATTTCGTCAGCAAAACTGAGCTAAGATATCCCACCAACAACGTGCGCTGGAATTTCAAACGGTTGAATGTGTCAGCTCCACAGGACTATCTACAACAGGTGGATGTTCACCCTCAACTTGATGTGGATGCTCATTGAGACTTCCTACTGCACACGCTCTTAAGTGCTACAAATCATTCAGTTCCTCAAACGGTCCCCCACAGCTATCAGCAACCTACATTTATCAGGAACCGCACTCTTCGCCTGCTAAGCCGCAAAAGGCACTGTTGGGCAGAGTACAAACGAACTGACAACGACGGAGCGTACAGGCAATACAAACATATAAGGAACATATGCACGAAGGTTATAAGAGAAGATAGGCTTCAGTACCAGACAAAGCTTATGGAAATATTTGCCTCTAATCCTAAAAGTTTATTCCGTTATGCAGCCTCTCTTCATCAAGTCAAAACAGGAATTTCCCAACTGCTAGGTCTTAACGGCCCGACCAACGACGACGCCGCTAACCTTTTGGCCGAACAATAATCTCGGACATTTAGACCGACCCACATAAACTATACTGACAAAAGCTTCATCTGCAACTCCAAAGGACTTTCCGAGGTGTACCTGAGCGATGACTTGGTGTTCCGGAAACTGCAGCACTTAAGAGTTGACACTTCCCCTGGTCCGGATATGGTTCATTTTGCTATACTGAGGGAAGCAGCCTCAATCCTGGCAACGCCGCTTAGCGTGATGTTCTTACACTCGCTAAGCCGAGGAATACTACCGGAAAATTGGAAGCTGGCTCACATCACACCAATTTTCAAAGGAGGTCGACGCAGCAAGCCTTCAAGTTACCGACCGGTGGCTCTTCTCTTAATACCTTTAAAAATCATGGAGTCCCTGATATGTGATGGTATAAATGACTATTTACTGTCCTTAAATTTCTTCACACCCCAACAGCATGGTTTCAGGAAGGGTGACTCTTGTATAACCAACCTGCTGACTGCGGTGGACAGATGGACAAGCATCCTCGATCACAATGGGAAGGTTGATATCATCTACCTAGATATCTCAAAAGCTTTTGATAAGGTTAACCATACATGTCTTATCAATAAGCTCAAACGATTGGGTATCAGACCATCTCTAATTGATTGGCTCATTTCATATCTGAAAACTCGAAATTTTAGGGTCAGGGTTAACTTTACTTTATCTCAGGCTATGGAATGTCCTAGTGGGGTCTCCCAGGGCTTAGTACTAGGACCTCTTCTCTTCTTGATATATATAAATGATCTTTCACAACAGGTGTCGTCAAACGTATTACTTTTGCTGATGACGTGAAACTTTGGGAAGAAGTACGCAACCAAGAGGATATACAGGCACTTAAGGAGGATCTGACTCGACTTCAAAGTTGGGCAGACGATAAAGGACTTACCTTTAACACTTCAAAGTGTAAAGTAGTCCATCTGCGATATGTAGCAGACTACAGTTATGACTTAGGAAACTCCTCTATCGTATTATCCCAAGTCGAAAACGGCTTAGGAGTCCTGGTGCCCTACAATTTAAAGTCTTATGCTGATTGTGACAAAAATGCCTTCCGAGCAAACCTTGCACTGGTAACATTGAAGCGCATTTTTGGCCAGTTTGACGGAAGAACTTTCCATATAATCTTCAATAGATTTATCCGTCCCCATTTAGAGTACGGAAACATAGTATTTCCTCCCTCACTTTAAAAGGAGAAGGACACCTCGGAGCGTATCCAACGGCGAGTCACGAAATTAGTTCGAGGACTCAAATTCAAATCTTACGAAGAGCGCCTCATTTCACTTAACCTTTACCCATTAGAGTATAGACGTCTTAGAGGTGATCTTCTGATGGCTTATAGTATTCTTAACATTTCCGGGCATCCTCTCAAACACTCACCTAAGCTTAGTTCCAACACTAACCTAAGGGGTAACACCCAAAAACTGGAGACACAACATAGCAGAACGAACTGTAGACACAACTTCTACTCCTTAAGAGTTGTCAAATGCTGGAATGCGCTGCCGATTGAGCTAGTCCAAGCGACTACCCAGGAGTCCATTAAGAGGTAACTTGATCTATTCTTAAGGACTAAGGATAATATCACACTATGATTTACTAATTCCTATTTCCCCTTTTATTGTTAACATACCTAGGTTCCTGCCTGGAGGATTTGGTGATTCCCTGCTACTAGACACGGAAGCCTGTTGAGAGAAAGCCTCTTCTATTCTGTCCACAACCATTTGAACCAAAGGGAATCGCCTAGCTAGGTAATCAAAAGGATGTAAATCCTCCAAAATACGAAACATAATTATTACGTCAGGGATAGTGAAACTCAATAACTAGGTACAATGATGTGCATCAGTCTTACTAAAACAAATTCGATATGGTACCAGAGCAGTTATCAGAATACCAGCGAAATTATAATTACGAATGAAACGACATTGTTGCACTACAATACTGATGACTCATACAAAGATCCACATGACCATTAAGAGCATTTTATTCGAATGGCCAAAATATATGACTTGATATATTTCGACTGGTCAGTCAAACTAACTGCAGTACTTCGAAGTACTTCAGGCATCTTTTAAATGTTAACAGCTATATATATTGCAGATCTGCAATAAAATGCATTAGCTGGTGTCTAGACTTCTCAGTTAATGTAATCTCGCTCTAAAATATAAAAGAGAATCGAGATAAACAAAGACCAAACAGTCGGCCAGTTTACAACGAAGTCAAGTACCGATGACCTTGTGAAGCAGACTGTTGATTTGATGCAAAATTACTTAAGTGTAGCGAGTTTTGGTATGAATAATTCAATTTTTTGTCAGTTATTTCTGACGTTAAAGATAGAGGTTTATGGTTGATGTTTCAGGCTATGAATTAAAGTAAGGAATTTAAGCAAGGTTCAAATGGTTCAAATGGTTGTGGACAGAATAGAAGAGGCTTTCGCTCAACAGGCTTCCGTGTCTAGTAGCAGGGAATCACCAAATCCTCCAGGCAGGAACCTAGGTATGTTAACAATAAAAGGGGAAATAGGAATTAGTAAATCATAGTGTGATATTATCCTTAGTCCTTAAGAATAGATCAAGTTACCTCTTAATGGACTCCTGGGTAGTCGCTTGGACTAGCTCAATCGGCAGCGCATTCCAGCATTTGACAACTCTTAAGGAGTAGAAGTTGTGTCTACAGTTCGTTCTGCTATGTTGTGTCTCCAGTTTTTGGGTGTTACCCCTTAGGTTAGTGTTGGAACAAAGCTTAAGTAGGTGTTTAAGAGTTTTGGAGTTAAAAATTATAACCAAGATTAGGTTTTAGAATTTTTAATCAGGATTAAGGTTTTCGTTATGTGGGTGTTCCCAAGGGTAGACAAGCCATACACACCTTCTGGACTCGAACCTTCGTGACGAATTGCATGAGTCTTTGTAAGATGGCAGGGGAATCGATCACTCTGAAAGGCATTGTCCGGATCTCGTATAACCTTTTGGGGACGACAGTTGTCGTTTTGGCTCTGTCGTTCGGATGTACCTGGACCTGAGAGATGCCTAATGCCACGTTCAAGGTTGAAAACCATTAGGACCTCGATAGCACCTCCAAAGTTTCATCAATAAGTGGGATCAGAAGGGGCCATTATGTTTAGTTTTTAATGACCAACACAAAACCTAACGTTTCCTGTCTTCCTTCTGGTAGGCACTACTGGGTATGCCCATGAAGACTGTGATTGTATATTAAGGCCATTGTTCAATATTTCCATTATCATACAAGACAATCAGGATTGAAGTTCGATCGAGGTTCTCCAGAGCCCTTATCTAATAACATTGCACTTTCTGTATTAATCTGATGAATTATTAGTTTGTTCCTTTCTAATTCTGTAAATGTCTATACAGTGACCTTAGAATTAACCCTCAGTGACTAAAGAACTTCTGCCTGCTCATTGTTTTGAACCTCTGACAATAATTGTTTGATTGGTGTCTTCGATATCATATCGATCAACAGACGTAGTAATACTCACATATTTCTGATAGAGCGAGGGTACGCCATTTTTACAGGCATGCTCAATGATTTAAAACATTGGTTTACAGATAAGATACAGCTCATGTAGGGTAAAATCAGTGAAAATAAATGGCAGAATATTCGCACAGATATACCAGAAAATCAGCAATTAGGTATATGCGTTAGTAATGTACTATGAGTTCTCAGTTTACACGATCTGTTCAAAGCGTAATTGAGCCCACGTTGGGATCATGACAAACCCACATCACGTTCAAGCATGGTGAAGATGGCACAGGTGTTCAGTGTTTGACAACGCTTTAACCAATAACACCTAATATAACTCTTACCCACCAAGAAAAATCGAAAGACAGAATCGAGGAGATTAGAAGATATATTTGATAACTATCAATATATCGAGAATCGTCTGATCTAATCTGGCTAGCGATTGCAGTAGATGCTGAGCACGGCGTTCCCACTCGTGATCTGGTGCGGATGCATGACCGAGCGCCTTCAGCTAGGTGAGTCCATTAAAACATGTGGTCAGCATCCAATGTCGAAAAGTTACAGAGCTATTTATTTTGGGGATTTATTGACCACTACAATGGCATTCAAGTGTTAGAATTTTGCTGCTCCCAGGTGTTTATCAACTGCAACTGTTTGATAAGTTTATGGTTAATATAAAATAGCAACTAAAAGGTGCATAATATGAGCTATGTATTTGTAAAACCTGTACGAAGAAGCTCCATAGCTATGTAATGCGAACGTGATGCTATAAGGATGAGAAAAAGGCAGAACAAGATTTCGGCCGAAGTATGGTAAATTAGTAGATGAAACTCATACTACCTGTCATTATTAGGATGGACTGTGTTTAATGAGTTTCCAGATAAGAGAGTTAAGTAATAAATAAAAATAAAATGTGGTGTGTAACGAGATGGAACTGAGTGGAATGATGAGGGACTGTCACACTCGGAGTCTAGAAGGCTGTTCATCAAAACCGGAAGTGCATCAGAAGAGAAAGGAGTCTTAAAAAACGCTAATAACTATATCTTTTAATACATATTCTTCATTATTCCCGTTTTTCATTTAGGGTCAGCCACGATACCTACGAAGGTGTACTTAACAATTCATAGAGGGAAAGAAAGGGTCATGAAACTCAGATCTTAATGCGATTCAAAAATTCAGAGGATCTATGATATCTGCGTAGGCCTCAGACATGTTCCTACGTACTAGAATACCAGAACAATCAGTGACATCATGAAGAAGTATTACTGTGTGGGCGAGAATGATAATGATTGGTTGTTTGCTTAGTCAGACATGTAGATAGTCTGACAGGTGTCAGATGAGTGATATATTCCCTTATCCTTATTATTATTATTCACTTGTTATTGATTGTTAATTGCTGCTGGATTGTGTCGGGTTTTTGGTGTGGAAATATATTTACGTTCTAGTCAGACTAATCACGTGTTCTTGATCTGAGTTGTGCTGAAGTCCTGTAGAAAAGACACTGGGAGGGAATCTAGTGTAGATAATCGTTTAAGGTAAGTTGACGTCCCATACATGTAAACGTAAAAACCCAACCGTTATAACACTGGACAAAGTAAAACCGAGCGGTCTAACGCTAACGTATATAACTCATCTGCCATGCATATCATGGAGGGGGCAACGTTCCATATTACTGAATACTTTATGGGGAAATCCTCCCGAGTTTCGATTTGGATTACTTAACATTGACCGTAGATACTTTACATCAAAAGTTATATATATGTTGACCCTGGTTAATACATGTACAATAAGTGGGATTTTTGAAGAGTTTGAAGTACATAATCAAATTGGACCTAAGCCTTCTTTTTCAGAGGGGTTCTAGTCCTAGGATAAGGTATCAGGAATGATAGTCAACGGGTGAATCATTTTTAAGCATTTTGTTAGTAAAATTTTGTCGTGTTCCTTCCATCTTTAGTGTATCAGAAAGGCGTAATTTGGGTAGCTTTTACGCATATCAATATTAAGTTTTGCTTTATCAAGATAAGTTGGCTCATCTGTCTTCTCTGGTTCACTTCTTTCCCCCTCTTTTCGACGATGTTCACATATTTCACATATTTGTGCTCGTATTTTGCTAAATGACTAGACTCTCTATTCGCCTTGCGCGCATCAACTTCTCCGCTCGAAGTTTTGCTCTTTAACGGCATTCGAAATGAGTACACTTTACGTGGTTCGATAGTAGTCCTTCGAGTTGCGTAGGGAAACGAGGTAGGCTTATCAGTAAATGCCAGAGTTCTTAGTAAGCTATGAGTAACTTATCTGATGAATGTGAGGAAATGAGCAGCGATTTCATCATCCTTAACATCTTTTCTAGTCATACTCTAGATATCGACCTTTTCTATATAATCTTAGAAAGCTCAAAAATTTCAGTCTTCAGTAATAAAGACAGACCTGTCGACCTATATTGATCCTTGCAATTTTTAACACTGTCGGTGTCTAATCTCGTATAGAATATATCAACAGGATGTGCTGATATTACGTGTTCTGGTAAAGAATTTCAGTAATTCAGTACTCGATGTGAGATGCGGGACTTCAGTCGTAGACGATTTGATCTCAGTCATCGAAACTTCTCAGAATATTCTCACAAATGATCAGTCCAAGACGGAAGAAAAAGATAAGACGTATTGGTACCAAGGTTATCGTTCAGTATACGATAAGTCAATATTAGACCACCTCATATTTTACGGTAAGACGACAGAAATAAGTTGAAGTGTCTCAGTCTGTCTTTATAAGATAGGCCAGAGAAATTTCCTACCGATTTTATCCCTCGTCGTTGGATTCGTTCCAGTATATCCGCCTCATACTTGAGATAATGACTCTCTGCTTGAATACCATATTCCAAATGTGGCCTGACGAATGTCTGGTATAATAATTTAAACATTTCCTTGTCCAAATATTGGAATGACCTAATAGCCCATAATACCATAAAGCCTTCGGCAACAATAGCCTTACAGTTACTCGAGCTTTCGAGGTCGCTGCTTATAATGACTCCTGAATCTTTATAGTTAATTCATTTGGGCTAGGTCATCTGCAAAGTCCAAATTGTCTAATTGGTTCTGAGCTGTTCATTGTATTCCGCGTTTTCCCTCAGATGTCGAGGTCTTCATAATCCAGTCGACCACCAGAAGAAAGAGGAAGGGAGAGAATAAACACCCTTGTCTAACTCCGGCCATTACTTGGAATTCATCTGTCAGCTGTCCTCCATGCACGACCTTGCACTGTAGTCCGTCGTATAAGTTCCGGATAATGTTGACAATCTTCTCAGGAACTCTGTAGTGTCAAAGACGTTTCCATAACGTCCTCCTATCTACACTGTCAAATACTCTTTCACAATCAATGAAGTTGATGTATAGTGACGAGTTCCACTCAACTGATTGTTCGACGATGATCCGTAGTGTTGCAATTTGGTCTGTGCACGACCGATCCTTTCGGAGTCCAGCTTGTTGATCTCGAAGTTGGGCGTCTACTTTGTCTTTCATCCGGCTCAGCAATAGTCTGTCAAAGACTTACCCTGGTACTGACAGTAGTGTAATGCCTCTGTAGTTTTCACATTTGCTCACATCTCCTTTCTTTGGAATTTTGATGAAGTGTCCTTCTTTCCAGTCCGTAGGCACTTGTTCCTCCTCTCAAATCTTTTTGAATAGAAGGTAAAGCATGTTTGTAGTTATCTCGATGTCTGACTTCAGTGCTTCAGCTGGTATGTTGTCGGGTCCTGCTGCTTTCCCGCTCTTGATTTGTCTGATGGCCATTTTGATTTCTTCTTCAATCGCTTGTTTGCTTCTATGTACTCAACTTGAGCTTGGAATTTATCTGCTCGTGTTCGGCTGTTGTTAATTGCTGTCTTCTTGTTTTTCCTTTCTTTGATCCTGTCCGGTGTTTCTATAGAGATCCATTCCTTATGATGATGCTTCTTGAGGCCCAGAACCTCTTGACACGTTGAAGGTAATGCTTCTTTGATACCTTTCCAGTTGTCCTCCATAGTAGTTTCTTCCTCCTTCAGTAGATCCTGTAAGGCTTGGAACCTGTTGTTGAGAGCTATCTTGAACTCACTGAGTTTGTCAGTATCTCGAAAGAAGGCCGTATTGAACCTTTGTAGTGCTGTTTGTCGAGTTGTCCAGTTCTTCTTTAGCTTCAGTTTTAAATTGACCACAACTAGGTGGTGATCTGAAGCTATGTCAGCTTCTCTCCTGGTTCTCACAGCTTCCATTGTCCCTCGGAATTTTTTATTGATGCAAACATGATCTATCTGGTTTTCTGTGGTATGGTCCGGTGAGATTCATGTAGCTTTGTGTATATGTTTGTGTGGAAATATCATGACGCCTATGACCAATTTGTTGAATGCACATAGATTTGCGAATCTTTCCCCATTTTCATTTCTCTCCCAGTCGATGTCGTCCCATGATATCTTCATATCCGGTGTTGTCTATTCCGACTTTGGCGTTTAGATCTCGTCTAAAGACATATGAGGTCTTACTCGAATGTCGGTAACATCGTGACTACGAGCGAAACTTAACAGAAGGTCACGTTGCTACTCCAACCCTGGGTTTACCTTAAGGATCAACACTGTCGTCGGTTCTCTCACCTATTTTTATCAATATTTTGACCTGAACTCCTTTCGAGTTGTCCGGTAAGATGCTACGTATAAATTCTCCGAGCTGCTCCAAATTATGTGCATTTGCGGATCAGGAGTGTTTGATTCTATCATATTACTTACAATAATATTCGATGAGATTAAGTTGTTATCAGCCACGCCAGGGTGGAGTTCTGCTTTACTATCAAACTTTGGTAGTGTATTTTATGACTAAGAATGGGAGTTCATCAATCACTTGCCAACTAAGTGGTTGCATTTTATAGCTTTTTTACTGTCATGTATTTCTTCTTCTATTTTTCGTCACTCAGAACAGCCACACCGGGACTACTGGGAACGGTGACGGTTTAACCGAGTCTTCAATTTCTACTAAAAAAGCATTACTACCCATATCAATATCAAGTGGCATTTCAATTCTCGTTAGTTCCAGTGGAGATTTTACTTTTCCGTCAATCACAGTCGGGTGTTTAACACGTCCTGTGATAGTAAGTAATACACTATCAAAATTTTCAATGTCAGTACTCGTGTTACTAGCGCGACTATCATCTTTTTTCTTATAGGCCAAAGATAATATGCTCATAACCTCCTGGATCAGTAATGTTTTGTTCGTACAGAAAAATACACAAAGCCAATGCGAGTTAGGCTACGAGCACCTTGTGTACGTGGTGGGACTTAAACAGGTATAGATCTTATGTAGCCACTTTTTACATTCATCGCACTGCATTCCTTCCTCCACGAGATATAAACAATTTGGCTGTCTACACTTAATAACAATAATATATATTTCTGCATGTGCAGGTACACTCCATTTTTACAGGCATGATCTATAAATTACAACATTTGTTGGCTCACAAAATGCTTCCTAATTTATTAAGTTTTTAGTTGTTATAAAGTATACTCGTAGGGCGTTTGCTGTAAACTGTGACCTTGAGGAGACGCGTACGTCAAGTTTGTACTAGACGTTAGGAGTTTCATAGCTGTGCTTTCAGAGCAAATTTCTGAAGAAGAAGAAGAAAAAGAGAAACAGAAGAGCAGCAAGGCACTTGTATATGAACGCCAAAAGTTGCTTAAGATTGTGTAGTAGAACAGACAGAGGCATAATAAGTTAGAATAAATTCATCTTATCTCTTGTTAGAGTGAAATGAAGTCAGATGCTCCATATTAGAGAATGTAGTGAAAAAGAACAATGAGTTGTGTCATTTAACATGTTGGGTAAACTCACATTAAAGAAGGGAAGTGAGGGCTGATACAAGGAAAGCGGTTTATTAGAAGAGTGTGTATGTAAAGGGTGAAGTGTTAAGTATACTAATGACTATATCTTTTGTTGTCTAAATTTTTTCCCTTTTTTGTTTATCCGATGCCAGCCACACAATCCTAGTGAAAGTCCGAGTTAGCATGTTATAGATTGTCTTAATACAATAGCTAATCCAGAATAATATTGTACTGTCGTGATATGGTGTGTGACATAGCTGCTAACACGAAAACAAAGATAATCACATGTACTAAATCGCTAACGCTTTTTGAAACATGCAATAAAGACAGTCTTTCATTATGACAGTCACACACAATGTAGGATCAGGGACATATATGCATCGGCCAAGTTGCCATACGAATGTCGTACTCGGTGTCGGCGATAGGCTTTCTGTATATGACTCCGACTAGACACCTCGAAGTAGCAGACAATCTTACAGAGTACTATATGGATTCCTCAAGATTGTTAAACTCGAGATTCTGAGCTTGGTGTACCTCCAAGCAAGATCGTATGTACATGGCTACTCCACCCCCAATTCCCGATTTTCTGTAGTTGCGAAAAAAAGACATCCCAGGTACTGCTAACTCTTGGTCCGAGAACTGAGATGTCCAAGTTTCAGTTATTTCTATCAGATGAGCCTTATCAGTATTGCTAAGTTTACGTAGCTCATCCATTTTATTCGGTAGACTCGCGGCGTTCATGTATAAGCAGTTTATGCTTTCAATTTGAAACGTGTGAGCTTCTTCCTGTTTGTCTGTATGAGCCTTACGTGAACGGACAGGTAACCTACCTATATAATGTTTGCCGAGTTGGTAGGCCCTGTCCTTTACACGTTTTTTTATCATCGAGACAGTCCACAAGTGGAATGGTCAGCTCCAACTTGCTTTTGTGCTTTTAGTTCAGTAAGTGGACTAGATCCAGTCCTTCTTCGAAAATGCTATGGTATGTAATGCTTTTACTGATAGTCAGTCAATCAGCTGAAACGTAGGACCAGGCACATATCTGCATCGGTCCAAGTTGCCATACCTCATTAGCACAGGAAGATGAACAGCGAATTCATAGAAGTAGTTAATTCAGTGGTGGTAATATATAAAAGAAAGATTGCATGTAAGGACATAGTACAGGAAGAAGGAATTAGTTCGTAGATAGAAAGATATGAAGTGATTTTAATCTCTTAGTTTAAGGGAAGACAGAGAGTGTATACATCTGCGTTATTGTGATCGATTCCAAGCCGCCCCTACCTTTCTCCCCAACACTAGTCACCATTGTGTGTCGTGGTAATCGGTGTTCAGGCATACGTAACACGTGACCCGACCACCTCAGTCGATGAAGATTCGCAACCTCATCAACTGATTTACCGTCATTCCCTATTACCCTGCGTCTAACCTCACTATTACTTACCCGATGATCCCAACAGGTGTGAGCAGTATTTCTAAGACATCTATGATCAAATACTAGCAACTTACGAGTATCTTCTACTCTTAATGGTAACGTTTCGCAGCCGTCAATTAGAACAGAACGAACTGCCGGATAGTATACTCGTCCCTTAATTGATAGACGGATATCTCGCCTTTGCTATAGGTCACGTAAGTTGGCAAAGACCAAACGAGCTTTTCGAATCCGTACAGAGATTTCATCAGACACCAACCCATTAGGACTGATCACACTTCCAAGATAAGTGAAGTTCTCGGTGTGTTCGACTACTTCACTCCCTACCCTTAGTTCAGGTGTTGACGCAGACCAGTCCTGAAGCAACAACCTGCATTAAAAGTTTTCATAGTCACTCTTATTAGTACTCCTATCGTTAAATACTCACCAACTGAATACTCGATGCGAAATTCTGAGACTCATTTTTGATCAGTCGGTCAGTTAATACCAGCCTAGAACTTGGCTTTCAGTTCCTTTTTTGAATATTTCTTAACTGTTTTACAATACTTTTAAAACTATCAATCGAAGTATACGATATTTAAACACTCGAGTCACCCTGCAAAGCGCTTATGTATGACTAATTTCTGTATGATCACAAAGGGGTGTTTAAGTAGTCGCATTTTCCGTAATAACGGTTAGTACCGCTAGCAACTAAATTATTTCCTACATTCGACTTCCAATATCATTCTTTCTCAAAAGGTAATTTGGTAATAGCTTGAGAGTAAATTCCATGAACTTTCAAACTACTTTAACCACATATTGAACCAGAATATTTCCGTACTTCAGTTAAATTGTTCTTTGATATTCGATTGCAGTACTGTTTAGGTTAGTTTGGAGTTGTGGCCGAGGCGATCAATCAGTTGGGTTTGAATATCAGTGCATTTAGATAGTTAGCGATAACTGATGTAAGGTGATTGTCATTGAGGGATCGTTCATACTCAACGTATGGAAAAATCATTATTAACTGTAAAAATAGGTAGCCATGTGTGAAATTATGATAATTAGGAGTATTTGAACTATAGTACAAACTAGGAATCTCAGAAATAACGCAGTTGGATCAAGAAGTAATAGATAAGCACGAACGAATGTAATGTATTCGGAATTCGAAATCAAACATTCAACAAGTACAAAGGAATCAATATTTCATACAAACACCACATAAATGTTGAGGATCGATCTCCTTGTAGCTAACCAGATGGAGTGACGCCGTCTGTTAATGCTCTTTGATGTTGTTTATGCGAGATAAGTGAATTATAATGTTTAGGCAGTTCATACGGGGAACGTTTAATTAATGTTACGCAAACCTTTTGAATATCATTATGTTTGGTAAAATCCGTTTTACTAAGATCTTGTAAAAGGAAATCTTTTCTTCTCATATGCATCCAGTTGTGCTGTTGTCGAATATCTTTGTGTATTTTTAATCACTCGACATAAATAATCGCGTTACATCCGTCCTCTTATCAACAGTATATCTTGATGGTATTATCCCCACTTTTAAAAAAAACACAGTGGTCTTTGTAATTAAGGACAGTCGTGATCACTGTGTAATTTACTGTTGACATATTATGTATGGTTGTACAGCTTCGTAATAAATCCATTGAAAACATGTCAGGCCTTCCGAATGTATAGCTAAGTGTTCAGTCACAAGCTCCATCGCGACGCCATTATAATGATTAGAAGTATTCAAATTAATGTACTAACTAGGAATTTCCGAAATAGTACAATAAACAGCAAGCAGAACTAGATGAACAAAAATGAACATATTATACTTCGAAGTCGTAACCATCTGGCAATAAAGTCCGAAGGAATCATAGTTCGTAAAAATAGCACGGTTCTCTATCGACTGGATCACACAGTACATTTGGTGATAGGGTTATGATGGCCGTGAGAAAGTATGGTGAGAACACCATGTCTCAAACAAGACAAACCAGCTGTCCATTAATATGTTAATCAGTCGTTGTCGAACATGTTATTCCACTGTGCAATAAGTCAAAGGGATCTTAGGTATGCAACCGTTGGTCCGGTTAGTAAAACAGGTATGAACCTTTGACGAGAAAGACATCAACCAGTTAGCTGGTGCTCTGACTAAGTGGACAATGGGTGCTCGTTAAAAGTGAATTCTAAGAACAATGTAGTATCGTTATTCGATTATTATTATGACTCACATGGCTGTACAACTAATGGGGTCTTTTTATCTAAATTTATTGGTCATAAAGATTTAGGAGCCATAGTAAGCAGTGACGTCATCACAACGGGTAACTGTGAGACGGCTCTTGATTAAAGCTCCCGCATCTCGTTAGCAAGCTGAAGAATGAATAGATATGTTTTTGGAGAGCTGCGGCCCACGTACGTGAAGCAACGCTTGAAATATGGGGTGATTACATTTCGTACCTATTTCTTACACCTAAAACTGAACATTTTAGGTAATATTTCCAGACACTTCAAAAACCATGCACAAATATGTTGATCCCATGGTCCCCGATCCTTCACCTAGTTATAAATTAGGGGAATCGTATTCCAGAGTACGTAGCGTCAGTTCCTTCTGTTATTCGGGTTGTCAGTACATTAAATCATGAGGATTATCGCGAACCACTTGAAATTCCAATTATAATACAAAAAGCTGATAAATAGCATGGATTTTCGTCAGTTTATATCGGTATTTATAAGGGCGATTTTTTTACAATTCTACGTATTTAACATTGAGGTCTGAACGTCATATGTGAGGGTATTCTGTGTATATACGTCACTGGTTGGATGGCGTTGTCTTCTGACAGTTACATCAAAAGTAAGCTTTGTTTTTCTTGACTTTTCCTTTTTATTTGTAAACACACAGAGTTATTCTCTAATCCCTAGTCATTTCTTTCAGAGGATGCCTTGTCATCTCTTGAAGACTTGTGTGTCAGATACGTGTGCAAGAATTTAAATGTTTTAACGTATTTAAGTAGTGAAAACTGTGAAGTTAAACGAAAATGGAGATTCCCTTATCCAGGTTTTCGTCTGGTTGCCCGTCCTTCGCAAAAGATCTTGCTACAACTTTGCAAACGAAACGCCCTAGATGACGACCGGATGAGTCTTTTTAATGCTGACAGTGTCGACCTTATGTCTCCAGTTATAAAGGAAGCTAATGTCAGCCCATCATCCTTAAAAGTACTCAAGGAATTTCGTCTGTATAGCCTTTCTGCCATGAATCTAACCAAAGTGAATCTAAATACCATCATAAGTTGTCTTGGCGAGTGGACTGTTCAGAACCTAATGTGCCTCAATATATCCGGGACTTCTATTCTATGTGAAACTCATTTACCTATACTAGTTGCGCTCGGAAGGTTCAAGAATCTTAGCGTTCTTAATGCAAGTAGGACTGAACTAAATACCCAGTCTTTACAAATTATTGCTGATGACCTTTTAAATCTTCGTTATCTAAACATTTCCCGAACACGAGTAACAGATATTACTCCCCTACTAAATATACGCGATCGTCTTAATGGTTTGATCATGCATCGCTTGCAATTGGAAACGACGGAAGATATGGCGAAGTTGCTGTGCACTGTAGTGGAACTCCACCAACTGCGCATACTTGATGTATCTGACAAACCGCGAAATGCTGTTGGCAGATACGATGCTGTCGATAAATTTTGCTCGCCAGAGGCCTTGCCATTCTTAGAGCATATTGATTTGTCAGGAAACCAATTTGGGCTGAAACTTAGTGATGCAAGGTACATCAATTTGTGACTTAATTACTATTGTTTTTTAGAGCCTTTGTTGAGAGCCATCCTAGACTTACGTACGCTGGGTTTGCATCCTGGCTTTCAAGTCATGAAGATGAGTTGGAAGGAATATACAAACTTTCTCAACAGTATCCCCACATAACGGTAAGTTGAGTATGTCTACTTTTAACATTTTCTATCCATCTTTACATCAGAACTATTGGGTTAATTCATTTTCGTATAGGTTGTTTGAATCTTCCCAATTATGTTTAGGGCTACAATTTATCAGTCTCTTATTGGCATGTGAGCTTCTTGTGCGGATTCCCTCGATATTACCTTAAATCACAAGTATTATAAGCAGAAATGAATGATGGCTAGCAGTGGAATCCGGGACGCGCGTTTCGCCTTATTTGAGTGAACAGCAACTCTGAGATGCAAGTATATCCAGCTGACGAGTTCCAAACAGGGCGGAACGCGCGTCCTGTATTACAATTTTAGCCACCATCCATCTTTTCTTATTTTAGTTTTACGTTCTGATGTTTATGTTGATTCGAAAAATGGAGATACACGCCCTGCTACCTGACAAACCAGTTCTTATCTAGACAGAACTAGTAGGTAGGTGTACTCCGTGACTATAAACGAAAAATTGACTATAAGCCCTTGAATGCCCTGGTACGGCCAAGAGTGGGGAGTTAGCTCTCCCTCTCTAAATGCTCTCACATGACCACGTGCGTACAACCACTGCTAAGGAAGTCCTACTCACTGCCTTCTCGCGACGGGTGTGTTGTTTATGAAATTGAGAGGACGAAAAGCGAATATCCGGTGCTTTGGCCGGATTGGTGAACACGGAGAGTATCTAGGGGAGTTGGAAAATCCTGATCTCAAACCACTGGCGCACATGGGCTCCAGGATCAAATGGCGTGAAAACCAATCACTGGTCACTGGCTACTACAGACTGCATGTACTGACGTTGCTCCACTGCCTTGTGGATTAGACCTTTAGGTCAAAGGCTCCGGGTGCGATCCCTTAAGAAGACTGCCTGCTCCGGTTTGTGCACCCGGCCAGTATCCCAGCCTTCACACAAATCGAATGATTTGTGTGGCGCATATCTATTTGGTGCCTCCTTGTACCAATGTTTATGTGTTTAAATAAACAAATACTTTTTTATTACGGATCAGAAATCCTGTTGACGAACTACAGTTGTTCAAAATCCAACTAACTAAGTACCATGTAATAGTTTATAAATATTTGATAAAACAATAAAATGTGAATAACTAGTCATCTTGACGTAGGTTGTGATTTATTTTATAGCTAGCTTATTATGAACCGTAAATAATTTTATATGAGGTTTGGCAAAATATGTTTTATAGTTGTATAGTAATTGTCTTATATATGTGGAGACAATTACATTGGTAAGTATTAATCATATCTTAAGCCGGTTAACCAAGCTGTTGAGATAAGCTCGAAGCGTCCTTTATTTCGTTTAGGATTAACTTATGTTAGAAATCAAAAAATGTATCAACAGAAAGACAGGGAAAATGAGATATCTATTAGAAAAAGTAGATTAACCGCAAATACAAATTTAAAGGACTTACTGACCTATTTTGCCATTCGTGGATAAAACAAAAGGACCGAAATACCATCTCAACTGTCGTGCACTTCGATCCACGTTTTGATATATCTCAAGCTGTTACTTTCAGTGCAGAAAGACTGCTTAGTGAGCCATGGTGCAAGGATACGAAGTTATCGTTTATTTTATTAGACTACAAAGAGTAATCAGTTCTTCACTATTTCTGGTCACCCTCAGCAACCTAAATGTTTTGGTAAGTGCTAATGTCTGAAATAGCCTAACTGAATTTTATTCACTGAATGATGTCGAATACGATTTTAGTTATTGGATACAGATACTTATTAAAATATGAGAATATAGTCTCACCAGTTGTCAGTCGTACCCTAAATATATTAACCATATAATGTCTTAGACTGTAGTGCTAAGTTGTGCTAGGCTAAATCTTCTAAAAATCATGAGTTTTCCTAAAGCCTTAGATACATCCTGTTTACGTTTTACAGGAAACGTGGGTCGATGATTTTTTATTGACTAGCTTAAAATGTGTAAAATACTTTTTAAATCATGGTTGTTTTTTACAAAGTTGTTTGATTCACCAAACCATACTGTTCAGCAACTCATTGAATGGAATTATGGTTAATTCTAGATGTTGGGAGATAGAGGGGACCAACTTTTGTTAAATACTTTGACGCGTAATAAGGATAGAGCTTTCTATCTTCAACATGCTCTCCATAGTATTTTTGACGCAACTAGCAATCGTGAATCTGTCAAACCAGATATTCTGCAAGTAAGTATAAGATATTTGTGTGCTTATTATCTTCTGCAAAGGCAAATTTTTCATTTTTTCTAAGTGGGAAGTTTATTGAATATTTTATCTCGCAGCAGGGGTGTTGTTTACGAAATTGAGGGGACGAAAAGCGAAAAACCGGCGCTTTAACCGGGTTGGTGGATACAGAACATCACCTAGGGGAGTTGGAAAACCCTGATTCCAAACCACTAGTGCATATGGGCTCCATGATCCTGAGAGAACAAAAGACGTATAAGGCTATCGTTGGCCACCGGTTACCATGGGATTACATCTTACGTTGTTCCACTGCCTTGTGGGTTAGACCTCTAGGTCAAAGGCTCGGGGTGTGACCTCCTAAGAAAACCACCTGCTTCGGTTCGGGCGCCTGGGAAGTATCCAGCCCTCATACAAATCGAATGATTTATGTGGCGCATATCTATTTGGTGCTTCCTTGTACAAATATTTACGTGTTTAAATAATAATAATAATATCAAGGTCGTCCTGATTATTTCAACATAACCAACAAGTACAGTATGTTAAATGGAAATCGTAGTGTATTCGGCACTGTAGTGGTGTCTTCTGTTATATCATGAGATAGATGACCCCTCAATTATTATACTATTAAAACTTGTCTTGTTAATCAACCAAAATTATGGGAGGAAGGAGGTTTAAGCTATCTGTCCACTACTTTTATGTATTAACACTACTCTGTTTCAAGGCCGTGATCTTCTAGCTTGGACTTAAACAACTATGTCAACATTACGTCACCTTTGGCGGAGGCGAGATATCCGTCTATCAATAAAAGGACGAGTATACTGCGCGGCAGTTCGTTCTGTTCTAATTGACGGCAGCGAAACATGGCCCTTAAGAGTAGAAGACACCCGTAAGCTACTAGTATTTGACCACACATGCCTTAGAAATATTGCTGGCATCTGCTGGGATCACCGGGTAAGTAATAGTGAGGTTAGACGCAGAGTATTAGGGAATGATGGTAAATCAGTTGATGAGGTTATGAATCTTCATCGACTGAGGTGGTCGGGTCACGTGTTACGTATGCCTGAACACCGATTACCACGACACACAATGGTGACTAGTGTTGGGGAGAAAAGTAGGGGCGGCTTGGAATCGATCACAATAACGCAGGTGTATACACTCTCTGTCTTCCCTTAAACTAAGAGATTAAAATCACTTCATATCTTTCTATCTACGAACTAATTCCTTCTTCCTGTACTATGTCCTTACATGCAATCTTTCTTTTATATATTACCACCACTGAATTAACTACTTCTATGAATTCGCTGTTCATCTTCCTGTGCTAATGAGGTATGGCAACCTGGACCGATGCAGATATGTGCCTGGTCCTACGTTGTAGCTGACTGACTGACTGACTGACAGACCCCGACTAAGTAGTCTGCATCAACCAACATGGCCCAGACTAGAAGTTGTCTTCAAGCACCGATGCCACGTTTGGTTTGGTCGCCCATAACTTTCTCCCAACCATCCCCAACACTGGTTAGCATTGCGCGCCGTGTTCAGGCATACGTAATACGTGACCCAACCATCTCAGTCGATGAAGATTTACAACCGCATCAACTGGTTTACCATTATTCCCTATTACCCTGCGTCTAACCTCACTATTACTTACCCGGTGATCCCAGCAGATGCCAGAAATATTTCTAAGGCATCTGTGGTCAAATACTAGCAACTTACGAGTATCTTCTACTCTTAATGGCCCGTTTGAGATTAACTATAGCCTATTGAACTTCAGCTGGTGTCGGGGACCTACTTCAATGTTCCATTCACGCTGTCTGGGAATGGTGGATAGTTGCAGAGTAACTGAAAGCTGGCTGAACTGCTCCTTAAAGTGTTCCACCCATCGTTATAAACGTCTAGACTGGGTGCAGATAAGAGTGTCCTCTTCTTCCCAGATAGTCTCACTTACATTTGACTTATTAATTGTAGTTTCTTTTATCAGTGTGTAGAGCTGCCTTGTGTTCCCTATAGCCGCCGCCTTTTCATCTCTTTTGCTTTCGTTGCCCACCACTGCTGACGGTCGTTCCTTAGACTTTTGCTTAATCTAGATCTGATTCGTTTACGCTCTTCATCGTGTTCAGAACATGATGGGATGAGTTTACGAAAATCCATCAGTGCAATAGATCTTGAAGAAATCCATTAGTTCTTTATAAGCCTTTGGTTCAAATCACTAACAGATGTCACTGCTGTTTCCACAGCTGCTTATATATCTTTCCAAGCAATATCTGAGTCAGCCTCGTTTTCAGAACTATCTAAGTGTGACCTCAGTTGTTCCTGGGACCTACTTTTGGTTTTCTCGTCACTCAGTTCAGTTCTAATGGGTCTTTTTAGTGTGGCTTTTTTGCATCCAGTGAGGCGCAAGCAGATGCGTGCCCGCGTTAGGGCATGGTCGGAGTCCAAGCAGGTACTTTAGAATCAGCGACGATCTTCTACCGACTCTCCAACGATGACTGATGGCAATATGGTCTATTCGAGTCCATCGTTGGTTTGGTGTAGGGGGTCTCCATGTTAGACAATATCTCTCCTTATGCTTAAAATTTGTGTTTGCTAAAAATAAACGATTGTCTGAGCACAGTTGCAGCAGACCATCACCATTATCTGTTCGCTGTGCCGGAATACTAAAATACCCATCTAAATACCTTTCTGTTTGGTTTAGGCTACCTACTTGAGCATTAAAGTCACCTGCTACGAGTACTATGTCTGAACGCTTAACTTACTGAAGAAGTTCAGAGAGCTTTCTGTAAAATTCATCTTTCACTTCATCCGATCTGCAGTCAGTTGGGGCGTAGGCAGAAATGACGAAAAGGCAACGAGGTGTGTCTCTATCCTTCCGAATTCTTACAGAGCCGTTCAACCGAACAACATATAGACAACTGTCAACGGGAACCCATCCTAATAGTGTTTGTCCCGCCCTCATGCTTAGTGCTATGCCTACACCTCCCAGTCCACGAGAACTGGTTATCGGGTCACCAGATATACGGGGGGTGTATCTCGTCGGCTCTCCGTTTTGGCAAGGTGAGGTAAAGTGAATGACCACACTAGGATCTTGTATGCGTGTTTTGAAGACGCAGCATACATCAATGGTACGAGATTCTAGGGTTTTAGTCAAGGAAGCCTGTTGACCGATTTGACATAATGTGCGTACGTTGAAGGCTCCAATGGGTAGTTTGGAGCGAGGTTTCAGTAGACCTGGGACAGTGTTTTGCGCACTAGAATCGTTGACTATGGTGACACTTGAGAAGGAAGTCAAGTGCGGAAGTTTGTAGTTGAAAGTCGATGTAGGAGGAATAATAGGAATAGAAGAGGGAGGTTGATTATGAATACAGTGGTCTTGAGTGCTGTTTGAAGTATGAGGGTGGTTATCACTTCCCGGTTGCCCACACCGTGGAAGGGTTCTTCTGCAGGTACCTGAGAAGGAAATAGGGTTACATGTTATCTTAGTGACCTGAGAGCGTGGCCGCAGTACCCAAGGGACAACTGCTTGAGGTCGGTCACACACGACCTCTGTGAGTAATTTCCGTGTTAGCTCCGTAATTGTTGAGACCTTACCGTCGGAGACGGATATCCGTGTGATAAAGCGATGTGTGCATTTCTAGGGTCAACCTTTTCTAACCCCACCCCTCCTTGTGGGAAGGCAGCATCGCTGTCATGCTGGTTGTCTGAAGGAAACACCTTACTGCTGTCACACCTCTGTACAGTCAGCAGTACGACTTCGCCTTCGGACCTTGAGTTTGTTGCTTTTGGTCTTACTGTTCTTCAACCGACCTGTCTGACGCGATAAGACTTTGAGGGACGGTTGTTCCAACCAGTATAGGTTGGCTGCTTCACGATAGGCAAGTTCGACCACCACATCAAGGTCGCAACAACGGTCATCCAAGATCACTAGTAACTCAGGAATTAGTTCGGATGGTTTTCACTTCTGATCATTTATTTTCCTAAGAAAAAGCAAAGCACCCTTGCGATGACCAAAGGGGAATCAGGTTGTCCTACTCACTGTACATCATCTTAACTTCCATTAGTATGTGACGCATAAGCGGAGCTTCGTTACACCAAATGAGATAAAACCATTCAAGTTTCGAGGATGGTATGCCTATTCTTCGTTAGGTTCTGAATTATGGCAATATTCCACCGCGTCAGTCAGAGAATCTTGTCATAATGTCTGTAGTTGAAAATTGCATCAGAAAACATCCAACTAAACGTTCTTTACTTAAACAGTTATATCAGTGTGTGTGGTGGATTGTTACGTAATTTGTGCACGACAAGTGCTTGTTATCTCTGTTCAGTTTTCAGTTTTGCCGTAGAGATAATAATTTGCCCTTCTGATTCTCTTAGGACTGTTCTACTGAAGACTCATAAATGTGAAGTACATAAACATACTTGTTCGAACGTACTGACGAAATCCTGAACACATTTTTGGACAAAGAAGTGCTGTTTAGGATGCAACTTCAACTGCTGCTCATATCTGTTAGGTCCCGCTTTGTTTACATGTGTACGCTGTTTTAGTTGTCAATGTTCCCGTGATTCTTTTCTGTGTCAACATGTTTTTGTTAAACTATATTTGCTGTACCGTAATTGAAATCCTAATTATGTTGACCAAAAATGTCTCACCAGCCTTATTTCTCAAGAAAGATGCTTCACTTTTAAAAGAGAAATAACATTATTACCAAATTGAAAGTTCAGTCTTTTATTCTTCCCGAGAATCTATGTAAATCAACACTTAATATCATTATAAGTATGTATTTCAAGTTATAACTTTGTTTCATTGGTTAATTATTTGCTTACTTTCTCAATCTCAGTAATTTCTTCACATCTGTCAAGAGGATTAACTAATTACCTGTCTTAGATGTAGAGTTTTAGGCAAGGGGACCGAATCAGTTATTGTTATTGTTGGACATTTTTCAATATGTAGTTTTGATTGACACAAGTAATCGGCAGAAAACTTCCACTTGGTCAAAACCGGATGTCACATTTGCCATGTACAAAGCTACTGACTTAACTTAGTCTTTTTTGTTGTATAAAATGAGCTTTCTGACTGAGGTATGTGACAAGTAAAAATCAGTGGCTGAATTCAGTAGTTATAGGTGCAGTCATTATCTACTTAGCTTTATGTTACATACAGATTATTTTATACTCAAACCAGTGAACTGTTGTCCCAAATTTTAAATGGTTATATGTCCAACGTGTCGGTTTTTTTGTTGAGATATTTCTTTTGATATATTTTGCTTTTTGTTGTTAATATGACTTTATGAATGTTTTTATTCGCATGTTGGATATCCTTGTATTGTAGTATGGGTTTAAAAGTGACTAAATATTTTATTTACTTTTCAGGCTGTTTTGCGCGTAATGAGGCTACATTTACGCAGAATGGAAATGATATTGGCAGGAACTGCTGTCATTTACAACTTAACTCGGAGTGAACAAAGCAATCAGTTACCTATAGATCTACTAAATCGTGCAGTACGTATGACTTTAACGGCAATGGAAAAGTTCCCAGACAATAGACAGTTGCAAAAGAATTGCTTTTTAACATTATGCAGTGACACTGTACTTTATCGTGCTGTAAGTAAAGAAATATGTTCATCTGTTCTGCAGCGATTGTAGTTTTGCTGTTTTCCGAATTGATATGTAAGCTATTATATGTTGTTTTGGTTGGTCAGTTTTCAACTGAATTTAGCATGTTGACTAATTAATACATGCATAATGAAAAAGATATCAGTGAGGAAATCTCGTAACAAGCTATTTGAGTCCCACTTTTTATCTACAGTTCTGGATGAGATTGATTTTATGTACATAAAATTGGTTTGTCTAACAACAAGCTCCTTGTATGATTCTTCTTGGTTACTTGAATACAATAGTTTTATACTTTTCCAGTATGAATTAACATTTTTAGTGTTGCCTTTTGACTGGACTTTTATACTGGCTAAACTTGACAACTGAGTAGTCACAAGGTAATGATTGGTACGGTCATCTTGAAATTACTCATTAGCTAACAGTAATTTTGTAGTTCTTATCTCATAGGCTTGCGTCACACAATTTACTATTATATCTTGTAGTAAAACTTCGCAGATGGGTTCAAACTTTTGAACATAAATTTGCTAACCGTTCACTAAAAGAAAGTTTGTAGAAACCTTGATCTCATACATACGAATACCGAAAACGACGCTTTGAAAACAATTGGTTTTTGAAAGCCTAAGTGAATTGCATAACCTCATAGATTCTGAACTCCAGATACCGTTGGTGAACGTTTATATGTCACACGAATATGATTAAAATGCAAAAATATTGAAATGCTTCTAGCCTGGAGATCCTTTGAAAAAAAAGGAGTGACATGGCTCAAAATCGTTTGCAATGGCGCAGATGCATCCACTCTTTGTGTTCTCCCAAATTTTGATCTCCTTATTCCTCCTTGTCTCTTTTTTTCATCCTCTCAAATTTATTTCACTGTATTATACTCTTTAAGTAACATCTCCAAACCCTAGTCTTTCCGATTACTGCTTATACTCTTATTACCTCTACCACTACGGGATTTGAATCGACCACTGCATCTCTATGCTAATGTGTTGTGGCAACTCGAACTGATGTACGTACGTACGAAGTTCTACGTTGTTACTGACTGACTGACTTGGAAAAAAAACATACTAGTACAGCTCGTTTCTTAATTTACCCATATTTTCTGCAAATACTCTTGTGGTTTAGTTATGACGGTCACCTATTACCGATAAAAGTTTAGAAGTGGCGGTATTAAACCGTGTAGACTATCAAACTTACCTTCATTCATCTACTTTGCCAAGTAAAATCTTTAGCTGTTTAGCAAAATAACGAGTTCCGTTACCTATATAATCGTGTGAACTTTTCAAGACAATCATATTTCGTTTACAATTATTTCATTTCGACCAATAGCCTTATTGTACATTATTCCATTTGATGTTGTCGGATGTAAATAAATATGTCACATTAACCATCTAGCGGGACATACGATATATATATATATTTCACAAGTTGAAATCATGAGTCAGTTGAAATTTCTAAAACTCTCCACAAAACCCATTCTGATAATAATCAACTGCTCACTAGTGACTGACTTCAGGAAAAACTTCTGGAGTTCTAGTGAGAAGCCGTTACCAGTGGAGTTCAACCGGTCTGTTGTGAGATAACAACTCACTGAAGACAATGGTGTACGGTGGCGCAACTTCGTGGATTGGTTGAAGTTAGACATTAACACCGTTGGATGCCGGCTCAGTGGTCTAGTGGTTAAGTGCTCGCGCGCGAAGCCAGTAGGTCCTGGGTTCGAGCCCCGCGTGGTGCGGGATCGTGGATGCGCACTGCTGAGGAGTCCCATACCAGGACGAAACGGCCGTCCAGTGCTTCCAGGTTTTCAATGGTGGTCTAGCTTCAACTGACTCATGATTTCAACTTGTGAAATTTCTAAAACTCTCCACAAAACCCATTCTGATAATAATCAACTGCTCACTAGTGACTGACTTCAGGAAAAACTTCTGGAGTTCTAGTGAGAAGCCGTTACCAGTGGAGTTCAACCGGTCTGTTGTGAGATAACAACTCACTGAAGACAATGGTGTACGGTGGCGCAACTTCGTGGATTGGTTGAAGTTAGACATTAACACCGTTGGATGCCGGCTCAGTGGTCTAGTGGTTAAGTGCTCGCGCGCGAAGCCAGTAGGTCCTGGGTTCGAGCCCCGCGTGGTGCGGGATCGTGGATGCGCACTGCTGAGGAGTCCCATACCAGGACGAAACGGCCGTCCAGTGCTTCCAGGTTTTCAATGGTGGTCTAGCTTCAACTGACTCATGATTTCAACTTGTGAAATTTCTAAAACTCTCCACAAAACCCATTCTGATATATATATATATATATATATATATATATATATATATATATATATATATATATATATTTGATGTAGATATGTTATATCTGTTTATGTAGGGTAGTTACAGAATGAAATACTATTTTTTATCGCCATACTAAGGAGCTTTATGATAGTAACCCACATTTCTCCTCTTGCTTCAGGCGAACCTGCAGCTACTCTATTTGTATATAGGTTGCATTTGTATATTTCTTTTTACTGTTATACTTAAATAAAAGTTACATGTATTTAATTGTATTCATTTTAGACCTTCAATTGTATACAATGTTGTGAACTGGTTTTTAACAACCTGCTGTCGTTTGATGATATTCATATGAAGCGTATGGGTGTAGCAATTATTTCTATACTAGCTGCAGAAGTAGGTTGTTTTTTAGATCAATATATAAGGTTTTTCATTGTTCCACTTCATATCCGACAGTGCCTTGATTGAACTCTGCTATATTTTTTAGTCATTTATTAAAGTTTAAATATATTTTCTTCTATTTGCCAATAAAAAGCTTCATGACGTATTCAGTAGTCAGTATTTTATTGAAACGGGCACTGATAACATTGTTTAAATAAACAATGAAAGCTCCACAACTAAATCACCTAGCTCGGAGAATAACTCTACCAAAGCTATCCGAGTTGCGAATTCTTTCTTGTATTTCAGTAATCAGTTCTTTTATCTGATTTTTTTAAATCACAGATATAGTTTCCCATAACTCGTTTATACTGTGGCTAATTGTTTTTTACTGTCAGTGTTTTACATTGATTCGTTTCATTGTTATCAACTCTTCTAACTGAAGAAAAATAATGATATATCCACTAACTAATTTGCTAAGTCTATGTATATGCTTACTGTAAATGTTATCATCATTATAATTTCAGCATAAATTTTGTCATCAGAAATCATGTGGGAAGTGTTTTGTAGTTTGATGGAAATTTGATAACAGTCACTATTTGTTCAACAATGGATTTATAATGTAGATCAGATTGTTTTCAAAGATATTCATGAATAATATAAAAAACTAATTTTCCAATCTCAATATTCCAAAAATTAAGCTGAAGTACGCAGCACACACAATTACTTGGGCACTGTTACTGTGAGGTACTTATCACTTATGGATCAAACTGCGAAATAGAATGCTGGTTTATCTATCACTGGATTAAATAATAATTTTATTTGGAAACAAATCTGTTTTCGATTAGTCGTTTTCATTTAATATACCTAATTAACTGACTTATACGGTTGAGGTTCAACGAAACAAGCTTTTCTACTGCTAGCTGGTGTTAAAATATCATATTGACAATGCTGAAACATCTGTACGAAGATAAATGCTAACACAATCTGTCGTCGTTTCCTGGTAAACGAGCACTGTGAAATCAGAAAAGGTACCAATTAATATTTGTTAATCAAAATGTTGATCTCGCTGCTTAGTTGTTTATGGGGCATTGCTTTCAAATTAAAACAGTTAGTGCTTCCTTCTGATCGGGATGAAAATATCGACACACTGCACACCTAGCTGATGAGTACGAGGTAGGATGAAGTGAAGTGATTCTAATCTTGATCACTATCGATCGAACAGGTTAACGTTTTTTCTTCTAATTAGATTTTACCTCCTAAAATAAAATAGTTAACTAGCTGGTAGATTACTTAATCGAAACACCGTGTAAAATTCACAGTGGTAGATGTATTGATTCTATAACCATATTCAGTTTTCTTTGTTTAAGCCATCATCTATTTGTAGTATGTGAGAAATATGTTGTTGGCTATATCACAGTAGGTGAAGTAAGTGTGAATTTTTGTATTGATGACTCTTAATCAAGTGTTCAAACTATAGTTTCAGTTCAAGTAACCAAGATTGTTGAATTTTTGTTTAATTAAGTGGATGCTACTATGACAGCTAGTTCATGTAAAAAAATCTCTTTATTTATGATGCGGAAAACGTTTCTAGATTTCAACATCTGGTCTATCAGACTTGGTAAAAGACCCTAGAAGAATTGAATGTTTTCTGAGTTATGTTGCTGACAAATGCCTCTTAGTGTCAGATGTCCCAGATCTTGGTTCAGCCTTACGAAGTTATATGCCACAGTTACGCCTACGCACTGTAGGAGCACCAATCTTTGATACTACATTAAGATTCACTTTATCCGCTTTATGGAATCTCACTGATGAATGTCCAGAAGCTTGCTTAAGATTTGTTCGTCAGGGTGGTCTAATCATATATGAAAAGGTCCTTAAAGTAAGTTAATATTCTTTCTATTTTATTTCCTATGGGTTATGATTTTATCTCAACAAGTAGTAGTCATAATTCGACTAGAGAAGTTTCAGAGGTTGTTGATGTAGCTTATTTGAATAAAAGTTTCCTTTTGAAATTAATTCCTCTACTTGACAATACTTTCGTGGTGAATTATGATTGTAGTAGTAGTTGCGCTGTATTTATTATTATTATTATTATTATTATTATTATTATTATTATTATCATTGTTATTATTAGGCAATTATTATGGAAGCTTTTGAGTGACATCCGTACCTTACCAATGTGTGATGTTATTTTAAGAACTGGGTACAGACCTTATCCTACCTTGATGTTGATTGTTTTTATACTTTTTATTTGGTTTCTTTCATGTTTAGCATTGATTAGATTACAACTGGATCATTTAAATCCATCACACAATACATTTGTCTATCTTACTGCACCCATTTTACTTTCAAATATCTCCTTTAGGACAATCAATGTTTAAGTATTGAATGTACTGTCATTATATTATTTGCATAACACACCATAGACAATGTAATGTTCAAGAGTTGGACATCTAATCAAATACTTTCCGTGTCTACCTAAGACTTATGTTTTTCTAGAATGTCACAGTGTTCGTTAATCGGACACTGGTTCATTTAATTGATTTTGATGGAGGTGGATGATTCGGTCGTGGAACTTTCATCGTTATTCTGGACATCATCAGCACATACTTCGGGTAGAAGTGTAGTGTTCAAACTTATCCACATATGGCTCACAGCTATTCCTGTAGACCTCGATCTTGATTGGTTATTGTTGACCTTTAACCTATCATTGTTTTCTTTATTTTGATTGTATCTCCAATTGATTTGATTTTCGGTCCTATATTTGTCCACAATTTTCCTGATTGGTCGATAAATTGGATCGATTTCAATGTGTTTGTTGACCGCTGATTGACCTGAGTGTCAAGCTTCTAAAAATTCTCTGGTGATTTAGAATTGCCTCTATCCAAGATCTCAACATTTCCCCAGTCGAATGTGTGTCCACAGTTGTCCACATACATTGATAAAAACGAGGATATGTCATGGCGCTTGATTCTAATTGATGTTCATGTGGGCAAAGATGAAGAGGGCGTCCGTTTTGTCCGATGTAGTGTTTTTCGCAGTTGGAACAATTTATTTTGTAGATGATGCTCCATCTCATTTGTTTGATTTTGAACTATATTTTCTATCTAAGGCCTAGGGATATTGCTTAGGTGATCAAACCAAAGTAAATAAAATGAAATTCACACTTCTAATCCATTGGTTGAAATTAGTTTTTTTTAATCACTCAGGCATCTATGAATTACTCGGGTGTTACATTGATTATCATTATTATTTGCTAGTTTCATCAATTCTAATTGTTCGTCAAAAAGTATATATATATATATATATATATATATATATATATACAACTGAGCCTATGGTAATCCTGTTTCGTGAGAATTGAAGTTATATTGTGATGTACGCTACTGATTTCAACAGATATAAGTTATATGTATCACCAATCGAAAGTGAAATGCATGGAGGCAGAAGGTTAAGAAGATCGATGAAAAGGGGACAAGGACAGAGAATGATTGGTGTGGAGAAGAAGAAACAACTAAGTCCGAGACAATTGATTGACATTTTGTAAATGAATTATTTACTGTATGATTCTCAGATTTTACTAAGATGATCTGTAATTTTGTATTCAATTACATTCAATTGTCCTCACTACAATATACGTTTAATGCTTGATTTCGAATAGAGTAATTGATAACGGTTCATCGACCAGTTAATTTCAAACTTCTTTTTGATGAATTTTAACGTTTAAATTTGTATTTATGAATAATTAACTGCAATATTCATATTTTTTTCACCATAAACGTTTCACCTTTTGCATCATATAATTCATTCGTATCTGTGTTTTTGTATCGTTTTGTTCATCGCAGCGATTTGCTGACCAAAGTGAAGAGACTAAAAATCATGTCTATACCAAGTGTCTGGGTCTACTTGTAAGTTTTTGTTCTATTGATTATGCTGTCTGTTGTCTATTTCATCTAGTCAATATTGATAATTGTTCATAAGTCCCTGTTCTAGTTCAATTAGTCAACACTTAATATAGTTCAAGTTATTTGGTCGGTTTGTATAACAGTATTTACTATTCAGCGGATGATTACTAAACAGTTATTTCATTTTAATCTAAATAATTTGTTTGGATACCTCTTGGAATAGTAATAAGATGGAAATCTTACTCTTAAATTTATCTATCAGTTTCCAGTACTTCTGGAGGTGTGCTGGCGGTTATCGATTTCCAGTCGCCCGGAGCCTGAAAGAATACTTCATCTTGAGGTATTTAAAAAGGAGGCTAGATCAGTATTAGTCTTGGGGATCTGAGAGCGTGATTACAGATCTCAAGAAGCAACTACTTCAGCCTTTTCCCATGGTGTTTTTACGAGTATTTCTGGATATCCTGTTTCCGTACTTTAAAGGCCTTTTGGCCAGCGAAGGAAATTCATGGGTCGAGTCAAGGCGTTCTATTTGTAGGGTTGATTATTTCTAACCTTTTCCTTTGGTTGTGGGAAGGCAGCACCACTGTAAATGCTGATTTTCTGAGGACAACACCTTACTGCCATCAAACCCTAGTACAGTCAGCAATACAATTTCACCATCAAACCTTAAGTTGGTAATTTTAGTTTTACTGCTCTCCAATCGGCCTGTTCGGGATTGAAGGACTTGAAAGAACAAGTATTCTGGCCAATATAGCCGGATTATATCTTAACAAAATGTAAATCCAACTGCCACATCAAGGTAGCTGCCACAATCATTATATATATATATATATATCTTGCTTAATATCAGGAAAATAAAACTACTTGTATCTCAGAAATCCCAGTAAAACTATCAGCTTAAACATGACTTTTTTATGTTCATTCAGTCCTAAGATTGATCATGGTATTGTGTTTGTGTCTATCCTGCCAAACTAGGTTGGAGTGTTGATTGACTTTTCAGGAAAGAGAAAAGCTCGAGTAAAGATTTTCGGGACTACTTCACCCGAAGAAGCAAATAATACATCTACTTAAGCTGGCTAATTTACATTGTGCACAGTATTTTTGCAGTTAGGTGTCAGGATATAATCAAAAAACGATTCGTTAGTAGTTTATTTAGTTGCCTCAGTTATGTATTTCAAGGGAACTATACTTCGTGAAGCAAACGGACACGTAACTAGTTTGCTTCCGCGTAGCAGCGCTAGGGACGTCCCTACCCGAAAACTTTATAACAGCGGGAAAGCACGGAAATAATGTGTACACTAATTTAGGGTGTAGATAAATAACATCTCAAGTGTATGTTTTATACATCTATAGAATATACAAGTCAAGGACTTACTCACTTCACAGTACGGAGATAGGTATAGATGTTTGAGATTGAAAGTGTGCGTTACATGTATACACAGAGTGCGTAGACATATACACTTCATAGTACACATAGCTATCGATACAATTTGGATTTGCTACATTAGTTTGAAGCCCAGTAGCAGTCGTAAGTGAATGCAGTAAGTACCTGCAAATCATGGGATTAAAAGTCATCTATTGGCGATGCCCTTTACGCCCATACCAAAAGAAAGTTTAGTGTTGATTGCCGTACACAAGTCACGGCACAGTTTATAATCATCACTCTGGTTTGCACGAGACCTAATGGATCTTTTTAGAGATAATAAAGTTAGGTACCACTAGGAATAATTTATTTATCCAGTTCTGCCGAATTCATAAATCCTTACGATAAGTCTTTCAGGTAGTCCATATTTACGACAGTGTGGGACCAGTTTGATCTTCAGGTTCAGCAGGGTGGAGAACACTTTATATCGTATACGTGTCATGACCTTGGAACGCATAAAGTTAAAAAACTAAGACATAACAACCAGTCAGATGATAGCAATGGTCATTGTGGAAATATGAGTTAAAAAATGTCGTTGAAATTATTCTTTAAAAAGGGAACTGATGTGTAATAAAAAAGCTAGATAATCTGGGCTCTCCTTAACAGTAATAAAACAATAGAAACTTAAGATTAGTTATTCTTCAAGTGTAATATGAAATTGATGTTATATCCGAGTGAAGATTAAATTACAGGTAACTTCCGAGGACTATTCATGGACTAATATTCTATAAAATATTCTTATTGTATAACTATTCAACAATTACATTATGTATATTTATATCCCTCTTATGACAAGCTTTATTTTGGCCTATAATTTATTATTGTACGATTTACGGTTCTTAAGTTATGTTCAGTTTATTAACTACTGCCTCCCACATTCACAGCCACTTTTTGGGCTTATTTGTGTACAAATATTATTTCCTATTTTATGGTACGTTGCGGTCTGTGTGATTGCTATATAAACCAAGCATATCTGAAATAAACGATCTGGTCTGATCTACTCTGATTCGGAAGCTGGTATCTTGTTCTGGACTCAAGTGGAAGGGCTCGTAGGACATAGGACCAATAAGGACGCTAAACTGCCCACACCGGTTGAACGTCATTGGTTGGCCTAGTGTGAAGATTCGTATAAGTCGTATTCGGATTGGTAGATAAGTCGTGTGATCGAAAAGTCAGACATCCAAGGTCATAACAATTGAACTAATGTCCATGGCTCTAAAATTCTGATTAATTTAGATGGAGTACTTAACCAATCTTTATTTTCGGACTGTTTTCAAGTGTTTTTTTATTTGTAGGATTTTAATGTTTTTACACATAATTTTTATTTTGATTACAGTTAGCAACTAATAATTTTTAATGAAAGTCCTCGTGCATTTTGTATCGTATTTTTCTTTTTTTTGTAGAATAATGTAGCAGAAGTCGAGCAAACACGTGAATCGTTATTAAAAGAAAGTCTAATGAACTTCTTTTTGTAAGTTTTAGCTTGTTTTTCATCAATATTTTATGTAGAATAATTTCATTTTATGAGTTGGAAAACCATCATGTAGACCCCATCCCTAACTTCTATGTGTAAACTTTTGAAATGGACTTTCTTTTTGGGTTTCAGTCTTTTTACAAATTACACAGCTCGACAAAATAATGATGTGATCATAAATAATTGTTTTATGAGAGTTACAGCCACGATAATTATCTGATTTTATACTTTGAGTTATTCAAATTTATAAATGGGAAAATCGTATACAATCTAATTGAATTGATATTACATTTTAGTGTGTTCACAAGAATTAACAGAATATTTTATTGGGAAATCAGCAAATAATTATCGACTCACAAATTCTGTATTTACGATCTAGAAACTGGCAAATTAAGTTAGAATATATGGTGTAGAAAATGTGTGTCGTCAATATTACTTCAATCAAATTGTATTTGTATTATAATTAGATCATCAAAAGTGAAAATGAGATAGTCAAGTATATCATAGAATCGCTTTTGATTTTGAAGGCTATAATTGATTTCATAGCTTGTTCATATTTTGCGCAAATTCCACTGAAAGAGCTGGTAAGTAAATTAGGTTTATACACAACTGGTTTAAAATCGGAATTTCCCAACTTCTGTTATTTATTATTTATTTATTTGAACACATAAATATTGGTACAAGAGAGCGCCAATATATATGCGCCACACAAAACAATGGGAATTCGAAGAGAAGTAGAAAGAGAAAAAAAACAACTAAGGAACGCAAAAGAAAAAGAGAACAATGACGGAGAGATTGGAGTAAGGTAGTGTGGTAGTAACGACGGGACGAAAAGGTACAATCAGAAGAAATCTTTCAGGTAACGGAGACACTACCACTTTTTATGAAGAAAGTAAAAGAAGGTTACAGCAGGATCGCCACTGGCTTCTATTCTGAGCCATATCTGATAACGTCTCTAGCCACTGTGTCGCACCATCTCTCGGACCCCAACCAGGGAGTCGTGAAGGACCAACACAAGCCAGTCCTTTGCAGCTTTCTTTCATGCCACGACACCATGTCATGCACTGACCACCTCTCCGCTTCTTCCAACCAGTCCCAGAGTCGGCAAATAATGCACGACGTGGAATTCTCTGGGACGACATTCGGAGAACATGTCCAAGCCACCGAAGTCGGTGTTTCAAGATGGTGACGCCAATTGAATTATCATCTCTGTGCCCGAACACACGATGCCGAACCTCTGCATTACTGACATGGTGTTGCCACTGAATGTCAGTGATCCTTCGGAGACAGCGATGATCAAACACAGAGAGTCGTCTAACGTCCTCAACTCGGAGAGGCAAGGTTTCACAAGCATAGAGCAAAACTGCTCTCACCGACGCGTTGTAGATCCGGCCTTTTACAGCCAGACTAACATCACGAAGGCGCCAAAGGTGGCCCAGATTGGCATAAGCCGCTCTGGCTTTCACTATTCGTGCATTGATCTCATCACTCACACCCCCACCAGCACTTATGCAGCTACCCAGATACACGAACTTCTCAACTACGTCTATCTGCTCACCGTCCAGGGTGAGTACAGGATTAGAATTCTGCCAGTCTTGTAGAAGTACTTTGCACTTCGAAGGTGCAAAGCACATACCATACCTACGGACACTGATTGCCAACTGATTAAGTGCGGATTGCATGCCTTGGGCATTATCGCACAGTAAGACAATATCGTCCGCATACTCAAGGTCGAGAAGTCTTTCTCCAGGCAACAGATCCACACCACCATTACTTACATTCATCAGAGCTGTTTCCAGAATGTCATCGATGGCAAAGTTGAAGAGGAATGGTGAGATTGGGCAACCCTGCCTAACCCCACTGCTCGAATGGAACAATGGAGAGAGGTGGTTGTATGCCCTCACTCTGCCTGAGGTGTTTGCATATAGGGCTTTTAGGATGTTAATAAACTTCTCAGGCACACCCTTCTTCAATAGACAATCCCAGAGAACAGTCCTATCCAACGAATCGAAGGCAGCCCTGATGTCAAGAAACACTACGATTGTTGGCCTTTGAAAAGTATGGCGGTGTTCTAACATTTGGCGGAGGGTGAAGATATGATCAATACATCCTCGACCAGAACGAAACCCAGCCTGCTCCTCGCGAGTCAATCTTTCTCGGGTTTTGAACAACCTACGAAGAATGACGGAAGCCAATAGCTTGGACGCAATCGGAAGTAAACTTATCCCCCGATAGTTGTTACAAGAACGACGTGAACCCTTTTTAAAGATAGGGACAACTATCGACTCATTCCATGACGTTGGTACACTCTCTAGTTCCCAAACCTTTGTAAACAACGTCGTCAATTCCTTAGTCAAAAAGTCACCACCATCTTTAAAAAGAGCCGGAGGTAAGCCATCTGGGCCATCCGGGCCAAGAGTTGGAGTTCTTTGCGGACTTCCTCCTCGTTTGGTGGATCAGTCGTCACCGGCCATGGAGGGCAGGACAGTCTGACCGATGTTGCCGGAGCAGCAGGCCAGTTGAACTGCCCTTCGAAAAATTCTGCCCATCGTCCAAGACGTCGATGGATGTTAGTGATTGGCATCCCATCATCCTCGCAGATTGTTTCACTCACACCAGACTTCTTGCTGCCAGTGGCTCGGATGAGCTGGAAGAGCTTCCGGTAGTTACCAGATGCAGCTGCTGCTTCCAGCTCATTAGCACGCATCGACCACCAGGCTTCTCGGTCCTTACGCAAGCTTTGCCCAATTTCCTTACGTAACATCCTTCGTTTATGGTCAAACTCACGGTCACCCGGAGTAGACCGACGGGCTTCAATGAGTTGTAAGGAACCAGAAGAAACCCAGTGCTTAAAAGCGGGACGTTTCGCAAACCCACAACTGACTGTTCCCGCCATTTTCATGGCGTCATGCAATTGCAACCAATGCTCATCTATACTTTTCGGTGGAGTGGTAGCTAGCCTAGAGGCTAGCTCGGTTCGATACTTACTTGCAACAGAAGTTGCAACCAGCTTGCTAACATCAATCCGTTGATGGCGTTCACTTCGTTGTCCACTGAAAAGTAAGGCAAGATTGGCGCAGACCAAGGCATGGTCAGAGTCCAGATAGGTACTCCAAAAGGAGCGGCAGTCTTGTACACAACCACGCCAGCGGTAGCTGATCGCGATGTGATCAATCTGCGTCCAGGCTTGAGATGCAGAGGGAGGACGCCAGGTGGCACATCGGCGATGACTGTGCCGAAAGTTAGTGCTAGCCAGAAACAGGTTGTGGTCTGTGCACAGTTGCAGTAGACGGTCCCCGTTATCTGACCTGCGACCAACGAGTCCCCATCGGCCACCTAAACGACTCTCTTCTGTGCCTAGACGCCCGACCTGAGCATTCAAGTCTCCGGCTAGTACTACAATATCTGTCGAACGCACTTTCTGGAGAAGAACTGATAATTGGTGGTAAAACTCATCCTTGATTGCATCCGGGCTGCAATCTGTCGGGGCATAGGCGGAGATGACGAAAAGACATCGTTTCTCACGCCGATTTCTTCTCACTAAGATGGAACTTTCTAATCTAACAGCACATAACCGACTGTTAATGGGGATCCAATCGACTAGTGCTGCCTCAGCTCTAGCGCTTAGTGCGACACCAACGCCAGCAAGACCAGGCGAAGATGCCACAGGGTCCCCGGATAAGCGCACGTAAAACAAGCTTTTCGAAGCGACAGATGGAGATCGAATTTGTAGTACTTCGCCAGAGTCTTGAATACGGGTCTCGGATAGACAACACACGTCGATATTAAGACTTTCCAAAGACATAGCCAGCCCTATCTGTTGTCCGACCTGCATAAATGTGCGAACGTTGAAGGCAGCCAGTTTGAATGGTGCACGTGGTTTCAGAAAAACTGCTTCAGTCCTCGTATTCGATGGTAACATACAATTTTCAACCGGACAGTGACTCGAGAACGTTTAGATACAGTCGAATTTCCACCAAAGACGAGCCGCTGTATAGGTATAAAAGAGGGTGAATAATGTGGAAAATAATAATAATAATGATAATAATAACAATAATGACAATAATAGTAGTAGTAATAATATTAGTATTAATAATGACAATAATTGTAATGATAATAATCTGAATCAATTGTTTGTTTTTCAAAGTGAGAAAGGTAATTTCCATAGGCATAAAGAGTTCATCAATTTGTGTGTGGGCTGTGATACTGCCCGGGTGCCCAAACCGAAGCAGGTGGTTATCTTAGGGGGCCACTCCCCGAGCCTTTGACCTAAAGGTCTAACCCACAAGGCAGTGGAGCATCGTAAGGTGATGCAGTCCCATGGTAGCCGGTGACCAACGATTGGTTCATACGCCATTCGTTCCCGCAGGATACTGGAGCCCATGTGCACCATTGATTTGGAATCCGGTTAAAGCGCCGGACATTCGCTTTTCGTCCTCTCATTTTCATAGACAACACCCCCGCCACGAGAAGGCAATGAGTAGGACTTCTCTGGCAGAGGCTGTATACGCGTGGCCGTGTGAGAGTATTTCGAGAGGGAGAGCGGACTCTCCCCACTCTCGGCGGTACCAGGGCATTCAGGGGGGCGCCCAACTTCTGTGGGTAAATCTACTGTTTCGACTCACTTTCGATAAACCCCGAGTATCCACTTTCAACCTATCATTTCTAAAGAACAAAGACTGATTTTGATTTCACTGGAGTTTCCACCCTTAATATCACTATATTTTGAGATTAAGAGTTGACTTACACCCTTGAACGTTCGGAACAATATTTGAGTTGGGGTCGCAGAAAGGATCTTTATGTTAACTTAATATCGATCAACACATGGTTGTTTCAGAAGTTTGAGACACTGTCAAACATGGCTTCACACTAAATCGGTGACGATATCTTTGTGTTTTCGTATTGTGTTATTTTGTAAGATTAAAGGTGATATTTATCTCAGTTGTGTTTTAGTCTGAACCATGTCCTTTAAATATATTGATCATTAATATAATCATATGGTTTTCTCTCTTATGTATTCACAACATCTATTTTAACCTGAGATTATATACAATGTTTTCAGTGTTCACTAAATGTTTCGTATTCAGCACTTTCGGTCATTTTCAGATTATTTGGTGAAGTGATAAAAAAATTACATTACAATCCAAGATCGAACATATTTAAGTGTAATTTTGATTAAAGACTTCATTTCAAACGAATTAATTATACACAGCCGTCTGATATGAGCATATTCCAATGGACCCCACCCCGACACAGTGGACGAGAAACATGAATATAATAAAAGTTAGGGCTTAAAATTAACTCCTTAGTAAAAAATTAATCTTTAATATCCTGCACTCACCTGTTAAATAGACGGAAAAATGACCAAAAGTGATAGGTAAAACAACGAATATCTTGTTGTTTGTACTTCACTTCGCGATATCTCATATTAAGCTATCTTGAATTGAAAAAAATAATTTTCTTGCATTGTTAATCATATCGCAGTAATTATAATTATATTTAACTTCTTAAAGCTTGTTGATTCCTGTCAAAGAGAAGATATATGAAACTCTTCTTCTGTCAAATGATTCAAAGTTATTATTTGATTGTGCAGTCATGCTCTGGTACGGCGGAGAGTGGGGAGAGTCAGCTCTTCCTCTCGAGATGCTCTCAAATGGCCACGTACGTACAACCACTCCCAGGAAAATCCTATTCACCGCCTCGCGGCGGGTATGTTGTTTAAGAAATTAAGAGGATGAAAAGCGAATGTCCAGTGCTTTAACCAGATAAGTGGGCACGGCGAGTTTACCTAAAGGAGTTGGAAAACTCTGATCCCAAACCACTGGTGCATATGGGCTCCAGGATCCTCAGAGAACAAATAGCGTAAGAACCAATCATTGGTCACCGGGTACTACTGACTGCATTTGCTGACGTTGCTCCACTGCCTTGTGGATTAGACCTTTAGGTCAAAGGCTCCGGGTGTGATCCCTTAAGAAGACTGCCTGCTCCTGTTTGTGCAACCGGCCAGTGTATCCCAGCCTTCACACAAATCGAATGATTTGTGTGGCGCATATCTATTTGGTGCCTTCTTGTACCAATGTTTATGTGTTTAAATAGATAAATGTGTATTTTCAAGAACTTTCCACAAGGAAGTATTCATCACTTGAAGGAAACTTATAAACCCTGTCTTTTTTTCGAATAAACATTATCATGTTTTGCTATCATAGACATCCCTATGATGTTCCTATTATTACCGAGTTAAGGATGTTGAATTTTTAGTTAGTCAATTTCAAAAGCGAAAGTCGTTCATTTCCTTTAAATGTCACATTTTTTTATTTGGAATTATGATTATAATTCCCTTTGTTATTTCATCTACTAATTAATGTTTTTTAAATGAGATATATTTTTTAAATGCAGCAAAATGCTTAGACATCCTTGTATCCAGATAAGTTATTTTGCTGCTGGTATTATTGCGCATCTGTCATGTTTAAAAGATGAGATATGGTTGCGTAATATTCAGTCAAGTCGTGAAAGTTATGTGAAATTATTGGTAAGGTCGGTTGTTTTTTTCGTTATTTTTCTGATTGTTTCCGTGTATAAGTGGGATTTATTACTGAAATTTAGAATGTTCTGTTTTCATCTTAGTACAGAAAATAAAATTAATGTTAAATCATGATAATATACGTAGTAAAAGCCATTGTAACTTGTTTGTGTTTATAGATACTGGTGTATGGGTCGATCCAATTTGATGATTCAACTAATAGCGAGTAATTCAAGCAATTCTAAAGAATGTTTGTTACTATGGTCTTTTGAGTATATAGAAAGGAAGATAACTGCCCACAAGTTATTATTAGTTACATTTTTCTGTCATCAAACAGTAGTATTTATTTCCGCAGAAATTCCTCACTCAGTCAAACGCAACATAGAGCCTGGTACATGTGTACATCGGTTCAAGTTCTCATACCCCAATAACACACGGAAATGGAATTGCTAAGGCACATTCCAGAGTAGTAGTGGATGAAAAGATTGGGCATGAAAGATAAGATTTGAGTAAATATAAGTTACTAAAATCAGAAAAATTATGAAGAATTGAGAAACTTAAAATGTGAAAAAAGAAAACGAGTGAATGCACCTGGTCTATTAGAAACGATTTCGAACCATATCACCCAAAGTCTCCAGCCACTGATAAGCTGAACTTGTTAACGAGACTCCGTTCCATTGCTAATGACTTTATGGACTTGTGCCATGTTTTGGTTTAGCCCTCCCCCCTTAGTTACGGAAAGTTTACATGTCTCTGTATGGTTTTAACTGAATCGTTGTAATTCTCACAGGCTTTTCCCTTCCTCTTTCTAAAGCAGTTGTTTTCCTCCATAAAAGATTATCATACGCATTTGTAGTGTACACATTACTTTTTTCTGGAATTTAGTTTTTATTTATTTATTCCAGGGTCAAGCTGTTTGTAATTGGCAACCGCCACATTCTGAGATGGTCGCTTATCGCTCTTTTGAACCGTTTGGTCTGTTAGTTTTGCATCCAGAAAGTCGTTTAGAGATACATTTGTGGGCTGTTTGGGCTATACATCATATATTAACCAGAAAAGGTTTGTTTTGTTTTATTTTTTATTCGTAAATTTAGATTTATCTGACTTCATTTTAATTTCTTATGGATCAATATCTTAGTGTTTATAACACAATTAGCTCTCAGTCAGTAGGTTTTATGTTTAAAATCGCTGTACACTTTCAATTTGGACAGCCAGGTGCTAACATCAACCCTCACAATCAAATAATTTGGCTCAAAAACGAGTAGATAAACCAGTAATTGGTAAATAACGTAAATGTGGCATCAGTTCACGAAGTCAATGATTTTTGGATTAAACCGTATTAGTAGGTGCTGACTACGTGATCGAGGTCCGTGAGATCAATGTTTGGAGATGGGTGACATGAATGAGATTCATTCTCTTTGTCTTCTTTTAGATCCTGAGTTCCCAAATTATCTTGTACTTCTTTATTCTAGAATCCGACTTCCTATATCTAATCTTTCCTATTACAAGCGATACTGTCAGTACTTCCACTTCTCCGGGATTTGCCTTAACAATTTGATCTCACCGTGCTGATGTGTGGAAGCTCGAACTGCTGAATATATGTATCAGTTTCTACGTTGTTTTTGAGAATACTGCAAAACCGTTCATTTTATATATATACACCACAGGACTGATTGGTTACAAGTTTTCATGATTTATCGAATTTTTGTGTCTTTTTCGCTACTCGAATGCATGTAATACATTTTTTCATAAATAAAACGGAATGTTCTACTAGATTTCAGTTCATTCGATTTTACTGATTTATTGTTAACAAAGGTTGAATAATTTTGTGGTACCAATAACTATATTCTCCAATTAGTTTTTTTGCTTGTGTTTGGTCAATTCAAATATCAAATGTCTGTCCCACGGTTTTCTCTTTACGTTTGAATTTTTTTTGTATATTTCGTCATCAAGTATATTAGCAGTTTTGCTTTTGTTCCCCTTTCTTTTCTAGAAACGCGTTATGTACCGGTTTTATGTGAATGTCAACCACTGTTATCATTTCTAAGATTAGTTGTTTCTTTTGATGAAGGAGTTTTATGCGCCCATAATTTACAACGACAGTTATCTGATCAAGAGCCGCGTAGTATAAATACTGATTTCCATGACAATGATAATGTCGAGAATAATAACAATTATTGTGTGAAAAACAGTGATCCGATGAAGTATTTAACTACTTCATCTAATGTTATTCGTCCTCAACCTCCAAGTGTATATTCTCCTTCAACAGATTCTGATGTTTTCTCAGAAGTACCTGCTCTATGTGAAGCAGCTGCCGGTGATTGTTTCATGTCAGAAAGTCAACAGACGCAATCTTCAAGACAGTCGTCAACAGTTACACATGTCGAACCTGTAGGACAAAGTGCAGAAGGTGTTGCAGCGTTTGTAGGACCTGATGAATCTCAACTTGCTTGTGCTAGACTTATCCGTAAAATGGCTTCAGAAATACTTGCGTCTGTTGATCGAACTTTACCAACATTACAGTCTACTTCTATTCATAATTATAACAATAACAGACATTGTGATCTGCCTGCATCTCATTGTTAGAAAAAACGTAATATCATTTAGCGTTAGTAATCGGCTAACATCATTTTAATTTCCCACACTGAATTCGGTTTGACTATTATTATTGTGTCCATGATTATTTTGACACATCCACTAAATTATGTAACTAATCCATTGATCTATCATTGTATTTTCCACATGTTTAATCTTCAACATATTAATATTCATCATCACTGTCGAAGTTCAGTGCACATTGTTTACAATATGAACCAGTATATATATATAATCCATTAGTATTCATATCATAAGGGAAAAAATAATCCATTTCACACCTTAATTGTCTTTCATGTAATTAAATTCACCCTGTTTATGTCACGGAAAAATAGGACATTATCGTCTATTCAATTATAACAACACGTGATTATAACTGTTATTACATATTTACACATATAAATAATAATTACTGTTAATTAGACTAGTATTGGTACCAATTTTGTTAATAATAATAGTACTTGTACACAGGTCTGTAGATTTATCTAAAACGAATTTTCTTATTGTCGTGAGAAACTATTGTATTGTTCATATTCCATACATATTGTGTTGAATTACATGTGTAAATTTTGTTTGTTGTTGTTAGATAATGATAATTATGCTATTGTTATTATTCTTGTTCACTTTATCATTGTTGTTTCTTTTTCTCTCTATGTAATATTTCCTCATTTTTTCGCACAAAATTTAATGTTTATTTTTCTTTAAATGAACTGTATTCTTAAGGCTTAATCTCATTTTTTTTGTAATGATTTAAATTGCATTTAAAGAGAGTCTGTTTTAAATTGCTGTTTATTTTATAGCTATACAGATTGATTGAATACAATGCATGATTCACCTTGGTAGATTAATTGACCTATACACATATACGATGATATATGCTAATTTAAATGCGTATGTACATTGTTGAATGTACTCTAGATATTCTCTTGCATCGATATTGATTCCTTTTTCTTCTCCCTTGTGTATGCATGCTTATCTATTTTCATGTAACTATGGTTTTTCAATGTCGATATAATTTCATTATTAATTTATTATAATTGTTTTTGTGTTTAATTACTTCTTAACCAGTTTCTGATCGTATTTTAATCGAGAAAAACAAGGAAATTCCGTTATAAATATTGTGTATTCATTGATTACAAATGCAAACTAGCATACTTAGTTTGTGTGTGTTTGTTCATGATTGAACGTAATTTAACTAAACAATCAAAAAATATCTTTATATGAAAATTTTGTTGATAATCTGGTATCTCACCATCCATCTTATTCAGTTGTTAATACTCTGAACTCTTTCTTGACTTGTTATTCTTTTTATGGTTGGTGTAAATGTTTTTAATGAAATAATCATGGTCGTATTTTTTGACACGGAACTAGTATAATCATGCACACAATCGATGCATATATATTTAATGATTGGTCGGTGACATATATTATTTTTTGACTGCTTAAGCTTCTCTTGTTTCTATTAAATATCGAATATTGTTTACCAAATGAAGCAAACCATTCCATTTTCATAGAAAGCAGGGAACATGATAACTTGTGGTATGCTCTTGCAGTGAATACAGATCTACTATGCATTTGCTAGATTCGTCAAACTTGTTATTTGTGAATGTGAAAAAGCAATCATTTATGAGTATGATATCTTTACCATTGAGACAAGGAATATAATTGTGAAGAGGATAATATTTTGATGGGAGTTGTTCATGTTCGAAAAGTGGTTTCGTTCTCCATTTCAGCCGATATTATTCTTATGTTTCCAGTGATTATTGATCATCTACCTTTCAATTAACAGTCTAATACAATTAAGCTTGAATTGTAGTGACGTAGCGAGTTCGAAATGTAATGAATAATTGTAAAATCTTGATTCTGTTATCATAACTAAGAGATATAATGTGATATTTCTCGAACTGCGTCTAAGTCCTTCTAACTTTATTTTGTGCGTACATATCTTTGAGCTGTTCCTTTTCCTTTTAATGAGCCATTTGACCCTTAAAGCGTTAGTTGGTGTTCTTGACAAAAATCTTCGTGAAATAGAAACAAATTTGCTGAAAAGAATTGATGATTGTTAGATGTGACAAGCATCGTTATTTGTTTTATATGAGGTTATCAGTCACAGAAATGTATATTTCGCGTTCTTCGTATTATGAATTCAATATGATTTCGCATTCTTTGTGGTTGGATTAAGACGATTCATTTTCCTAACTAGATTCCCGTATATCTACCATGCTAATTTTTTCATGTTTTTGTATATGATTTGCATGTTGTGAATAAATTTAATATATCCATATATATCAAAGTGTTTTTCTTTTCTCATCATTTGTTGATGTCAAACATGTCTGAAATTAAGTGATATTTGATTTCTAATTATTATTTTATATTCATGAGGTCATGCATATTGGAACTTTAAAATCTACATAATAAAGGGTTTTATGGTAATTTTCCAATTGTTCAATTAATGCTTTCTTATGATAGATAACCTATTTTACCCAGGAGTTTTCCTGTCTTAGAAAACGGACGTAATATTGTAGTTCTAACTCGTTTATTAGATATTTTCAGTTACTCTAGTATTTATTTCTGTTTATCAGAAGGGGTTTAGTGGAGATTTTAGTAGTTGAAATCATGAGTCAATTGAAGCTAGACCACCTGGAAGCACTGGACGGCCGTTTCGTCCTAGTATGTGACTTCTCAGCAGTGCGCATCCGCGATCCCGCCCCCGAGAGATTTCTGTTTAACGTAATTGTGTTATCTATTAGTTGAATAATGTTAGTATGAATAATAACTACGTTGTGCGTCAGTATTCGAAATTTACATACTAAGCAACAAAAGAACTTTAGTAATGACGTTCTGGTTAAAGTTGTGTCAATTTCTAAAGGGAGGTATAGTGGAAATCGATATAACGAACAAATTGTATCTGAGATATTTAAAGTAGCTGCATATTAGAGAGAACAAATAAGTGCATGGTACATCACTACGTAATATCATTTTTTTAATTAGGCTGAGATTTTGCGTTCTTTTTAAGTTGATGAGATGAGTGAGTTAAACCGTCTTGCCAGATTCACAAGTAATTGCTATTTGGTATTATTCTTTTCCGCTGTTATTGATGTTTTCCCTAATTTCGAAAATGTTAGTCAGGTGGAACTTTCATAGGGGGCGAGTAAGTGGGGGTGGCATTTTAAAAATCATCCTGTTATACAAAAGTGAATATGGTACAAGCGTCTCTGTATCCAGATACTTCAAGAAATCAGGCTAGTACAATAAGAAAAACCTTTAGGTAAAGTTAACTAGATAGATGAAAGATTCAACAACACCAGGGATTGGAATACATCCGCCTTACGGATCCTATTATTTCGTGCTGTAGATTTTAGGATTTAATTTAGCTTGAAAACTTAAACTCGATAGTCTGGTTATCGTGAATTGCTTTGGTTAACTATAATCTTTTTCTGCCCTAAATTTGATTGATTTCTGTGGTGTAGCAAATCCATAAGGGATCTAATCGTACTGTCTTGACAGTGTTGAGGGGTGCCATTTTAGATCTTAAGTTTTCTTAGTTTGTAATATTGACCTTTCATAATCGATTGTGCGTATGCTTTATTTTTACTTACTGATTGTTTCAATACTATAGTTGTGATATGTCAACTTAGTCCGGTTTTAGAGATTGTGTAGATGTACGGAACTCACCCCTTTATCATATATCGGATCATAGTTTGACATATATATATCTCGACCGTTGATGCTACCTTGACGTGCTGGTCGGGCTTGTCCATCATGATGAACCGATCCGGCTATACTGGCTGGAACATCGGTTCCTCAAGGTCCTACTATGTCAGGCAGATTTGTTGAAGACCGGCAAGACTAAAGGCAGCAAACTGAAGGCTTGGGGGGAAGTCGTACTATTGACTGTACATAGGTGTGACGACAGTAAGGTGCTTCCTTCAGATAACCAGCATAACAGCGATGCTGCCTACCCACAAGGAAGGGTTGGGGTAGAAAAGGTGTACCCTAAAGATTCACACCTCGCCTTATATCACAGATTTCCGTCCCCGGCGGCAAGGTCTCAACAAGTACGGAGCTAACACGGAAATTACTCACATAATATGCGTGTGGTTTATTAGGTACCGGTATACAGATCTAAACTAACGACGACTTGTTTTAGGCAGTATCGGATAACATTACTAACCATCGTAATGAGTGTAACTTTTAGCCTGTTTATATGAACTTATACGTGATCAATGCGTCGCGCTTCTCTGGTGTTATAATAATAAGATGCTATGAATTAAGGTTATTTACTAAAATTATTTACTGCTATTTCCTGTATTTTGGAATATCAATATATATGCATTTAACATCATTTTGATTATGCACTAAAACAAAATATATTTCAACGTAATTCGCATATTTCTGATTAATATACAAAGGTATTACTATTGAGATTTTAATATGATATTAGATAAGTTATTTTTGAATTTTGTGCCAAAAAAAACAAAAGTTTCCTCTATTTTGATTGTGTTATTCCTTTGATTATACTTTTCTCGATATTTAGAAAGTATGTGATGTGAATCATTATTCAAACTACTGAAATAATTTAAATTTTTAAGTAATCTAAGTAAAATACCTTATTAGAAACAAATAATCTTTCAGTCAACAACAGGATGTTAAAAATATCCTTAGAGATATGGATATATTAGAATATACAGCGGAAGTTTTTATTGACTGAATACTTGTTTTAACGATTAAATAAATTAAATCTTTATTAATAATTTTTCTTAGTTTACTAGTTTGCCTTTATTTATAATTACTATTTTTATAACTGTTGTCACTATTGATTGTATCACAAAATTATTAGTTATTCAATGTTTCTAAGAATTAATACGTCAAATCTAACTTTTCTTTGTGAAAACTAGTAAAATAATTAACTTATTAACAGTTAATATAACAGTGGTTGGTGTAGGAGAAGAAAACTAGAGGCAGTCAAATGACAAAATAGCACTAACCTATGAAGTATTCTTCCAAAATGTTCAAACTAACAGATTTATTCATGCTGAGGTCTGTATAATGATCTTTATCTTTGGTTGAAAACATTGTGTGGAATTATCGATAATCAGTTACAATAGCTTCTGTGCATTCATTCTAACCTTTCTCTAAATGTTGAGCTTATATTTATCCCATACTTTCATTCTTGTTTGTTCTTCTAAGCTATGCTTCTTACATTTAGTTTGGTACTGCTATCAATATAACTTTCCGCTCATCTTGCTGTCATCTTTCTCATTGTTTCAACGTTAGGTTTGACTTGGATCGATACAAACTCGTATTAGACCCTGCATTCTTTATAACCGACTACGTGATTAGTAACATATCGGTCATTTATATTTGGTGTAGTCATTCTAATTAGTGTGAATTCATTTGTCTAAATGTTTTTGTGGAAATCTTTAGTATAATTTGTAGGAAGATAATTCTCATTGTATATTGAGAGAGTTATTAATATCATAACTGGTTGACTGATATAGTTCGATGCAAGAAAGTAGGCAAAGGCTATGAATATAGGCTTGTTAGGTCCCCGAAATAGATCAAAACCCAAGTCTGAATACGCTAAGCTTTACTCATATTGATCAATATTCACATTTGAATATATTGAACTGGGGTAGTTGTTAGCGGGATATAGACTAGATTAAAGTACGTTCCGTGCAGGATTGTGTTCGAACACAGTGATTGATTATTTCCCGACCAATCAGCGCTAGTGGAGACTTGGAGAAGACTCTAGAATCTTCTTATGTAAAAATTATAAATATACTAACGTTTTTCTTATTGTGATTCCTACGTCCTTTCAACCTTGTTATTTGGAATATAATTACGTTTCTGTTTAACCACGTTCTAATTTGGATACTTGTCAAGTGAAATAGTGTCCAAGACTACTAAGCAATAAGAGTAGCTGGGTCGTAATAAGAGAAATTATTACAGTAGTATTATAGATTACTTGATTAATGACTTGTCGTATGAACACGATGCACTATATTATAAAATTAAACTACAGTAACCAACAAATGTAACTTAATCACTGATTTATTCTTTATAACAATTAAAGTTCATGAAACAATATATAGTTTAGAATAGACAGATTGTGGCTAGCAGTGAAATTCAGGACTCACGTTTCGTCTTATTTTGGGACGCGTCAGCTGTAAGATAATTCAAATAATATATTAGCTGTTTCAGATTGCTTTCTATTGACATTATGTTACGTATAAGATTCTTTATGCATGGTATTTTGAATGATTGTTTAAAATTTGTCATTTTTATACTATACTTTCACATTAATGTTGTATTATTATTCTTTTGAAATTCAAAATAACAATAATTTTAGGCAACCAAAATTTTCAACTCTATCCGTACTGGACAAATGAAAAATGTACAGAAATTTGCTTACTTTATGGTTTTGGATTTCGAAGCAACTTGTGAACAAGATAAAAAAATTCCAGTTGCTGTATGATAATAATTCATTTTTTGGTCTTGTTAATGTTTACATTTTTCTGAATATTTTGCATTGATTGAGTTGTATATTTAAGAAATCTTGTATATTTACTTAGTAGGATATCAGTCAGTTGAGCTTGGATACATTATATTGTCGAATCGATTTTAGCTTTATTTAACTCATTAGGATCATCTGTTGTTATATAAATATTAGATGTAACTCATGACTTGGTATAGATCAATTTTGCAACAGACTCACGAAGTATATATATATATATATATATATATATATATATATATTCATTATTCATACTTGTTCATTTGCATTTTCAATGTTTTTCTCAACACATGAACAAGATTAGTGCAAATTATATTTGTTTTACAGTTCAATCTTTATCTCTTTTCAACAGATTTATTACAATTAGCTTTAATGGCTAATGTTTAACAGACAGTTACGTGTTTAAAATGTTAAGTATTTCTACTTTCACTTAGACATCTGAAGAGATATCTTGAAGTGGTTTTGCTTTTTTTCTTAAAACTGTATTTTCTGATAACTTTCTTCTAGATTTACTTTATTCATTTATATCTGACTAGATATTTTTGGTAAATACAGGAAACTGAAGATTTTTTGAGAATCTCAAGCACTCACTTTGTTCAATATTATATTCACAAAATTGATTGAAAAGAAAGTGGATTTTTTGTTATAGGTTGGCATCGGTTAAACTATGTGTTAACAATAAGAGGTCACGGGAAAGTTTTTTCGTATTAAAGTCATTCATCATGTCTATCGATTGTGTATTATCGTTCAGCTATATGATATCAATCCGTTTG